ATAGTTATCATCAAGAACCAATTACAGACATTGAAAATATATCATATATAACTCTCAAAGTTTTTACTCCTATACGTAATATTTTTTCAGCTTTAACAGAGGAGGGATGTTTTTTAATTACTCATCAACATCCAAAAAATGTTATTTATCATTTAAACATGCAAGATATAAAGGTTTTTGATGATAATACTCTTCAGTTATTAAACAAAGCAAAAATTTATTATAATTTTTTTAATTAAAAAGAAGTAATTCAGATAATTGCACAGAATTTATAACTTAGAGGTAAAGTTGTATAAAATTATAATAGGATTAGAACTTATATGCTGATTTTGTATAAAGCTATTAATATAAATTAAATGTATAAAGAACATATTAAAATTTAAATTTAGATCTGAGTTATTTATATATTCTTCGGGATCCTTCTATACTGCTCTTTGACTTAATATGTTTTACTTTTCTGTCACAAATTTTACTTTTTAATTTCATATGTTTCATCATCATTTCATTCTTTAACTTTTTACATGAGTTTCATTCTTTATTTTTATAGCTTTGTTCTTTTGTTTGCTTTGTTATTGTCATGTATTTTTTTGTGTATATGTACTATAATTACTAGTCCTGTTAAAAATAAATAAAATATGAGTTTTTTCTAATTAATAAACTTTAATTAAATTATAGTACAAAAAAATTTGCGAATAAAAGTATTGCAAATTTAATGAAAATAAATTAAATTAACCAATCAAAATTGATTGATGTAAAATATAAATTTTTAGGAGGGGTGATTTAACCTGGATTATTTAACCTGAAGGGCAAGTTAGCAAAACTCTTTTATTTTTATTATAAAAAATTTGCATTATAATAAATAAAATAGAGGAAAAAATTAATTTTTAAGAGTATATAATTCAAATGTATAATAAAATTTTCATTAAGATTCTATATAAAGTTAAAAATCAAAATCCTACTGTTAAACATTAAAATTATATTAACAAAAGTTGTTTTTCTATTAAATTTTTATATAGCTACAATTAATTATATCAAAGTTGAGTGTAAAATTTTTTAAAATTTTGTGATTATCTTAAAATACAACTTTTGACAAATGGGTAATTTTTGATTTTCTAATATATAATTAATAAATAATAATAATTGCTGTACAATATATAATTTAAATTATTTTGAAAAAGATTTTATTAAAATTGCTTTATTTTTCATAAAATTAGATGAAAGTTGAAATTTTGGTAAAATTGCAGGCAAATTTGCCTGCAATTGCTTATGGTTTATTAGTAGATATAGAATTAATATAATTTATTTATTATTTTACTAATATAATAATAAAATTATTGGATAATAGTAGGATTTTTATGACAATTGTATGTATAAATAATTTAAAATGATATAATTTAAATAAATTTTGATTAAAATTTAAATAAGTTAATATATTTACATTTTATTATATAAATACTTTTAATACTTTTGAAAATCTTAAAAAAAAAAAAACTTCCTTCAATAAATTAAATTAAAAAAGTGATTTAATTTTTTTAATCACCTTATTTTTTAAACAAATTTTGAAAATCACCCTTCTCTTATTTTTTTTTATCAACTTCCTTTCAACTTTCCTCATTTTTTGTTTTTTCTAGGAATTTCACTTTTATTTAATTATAAATAGTCCATTAATTTTGCCGTGGTTTAACAAAGTTTAGTTGTTTTGTAAGACGAGAATTTACTCGTTTTGTTAAGCCTGATTGTAGATTATCAATGATTGGTTGTAGCTTTTTTGACAAGTCCTTCTTGGAAGATGCTATGGCATATTTTTGAATTGATAATACAAAATATGCTTTGGATTCTTTTGAAAAGTCTGATTCTGTGATTTCTTGAACCTGGTTGATAATTGACTCATCACCTAATTATAATAAATATATATATGGTTAATATGAAATTTTAAAAATATTTTTTCTTCTATCCCAATATAATTACCTATTTTTGTACTCTGAATTTTTTTCTTGATTTCAAATGCCAACTTTGACAAATTTTCGTCAACCTTTACTGGTTGTAATGTAGTTAATCTTTGATTTACCCTTTGAGATAATTTCATACGTCGACCAAGCCTTATATTACCAAAATCTTGAGCAACCTGACTCAAAATATCTAATCCGCTAGGTTCTGGCGGCGGTGATGTCATTAAATTTGACTTATTTAATAATGACAATTCTGCAGAATGTCCATTTACTGTTGCTTTCTGCTGTATTGACTCTCTTCTCAAGGAATCTAAAGAATTTGATTTTGTCTGATCTAATACATCCGAATTATTAAAAATTTTGTCAGTTGACACCCAACTCACAAAATCAGAATTCGAATATTGTGCTGGTTCAGTTTTCTTTAGCGTATTAATACCATTTAATGATTTATTGTCCGGAGTAACATTATATGATGCTTTTTGTATCATAGATTGTTCATAATTTGAATTAATAACACCGTTAGTTCCATTTACTGTAACTGTTGATAGATTATGTATATCATCTACTTCCATAACATCTGATAAGTTTGCCGGTGACATTTTATCAATTGGTGGTGTTGGTGGAGGTGTTATAGATTTAGTGCTATAATCGCGCATTTTACCGTTCGTTATTTTATTAATTTTAACTACCGGGATAGCCGGAATAGCCACTTCAAAAGGATTCCTTGGCAACATAGTATTTACGTGTATCTTCGTTATATTTGGTATTATTTGTCTTCCAGGAACTATTTTAAATGGTAAAACCTCATTTTTAATTGAACCGTTGAAAACAATTCCTGTAGGATTTGTTAATAACTTTGTTCGTCTTTCTGGAGACCATTTCGGTATCTTACGATGTGGAACTACCTTCTTATACTTAAAAATAAATAAATAAATAAATTAATTAATTAAATATACGAAACAAAATTAATAAAATAACGTGTTATTAAAATTTTTTGGATAAGTTCTTTTTTTTACATGAGAGAATATACTTACTTTATCAGGGTTTTTATAAGGATTCCCGTATGCCCGCTTATCAGGTACCTTATCATGATATATTTCGGGATCTCTTAGTTCTAGTTTGGATTTTTCTTTCACCACTGGTATATGATATCCCATAATATCAATAGGTAATGAATGTTTTGGATCTACAAATTAATTTTTTTAAAATAAAAAAAATTACATAAAATTTGTTAAAATCTGTCAAATAAGTGATGAGATATAAAAAAATTTTTTCTTTATCTACCGTATTCTATCATCGTTTCCATTATGTCAAATAATTCACATCTTTTGCTATCCGTTTTAGCTACTAACAAATCTGATTCGTTTATCTATATTTATCAAAATTTTTTAAATATTTTATTGAAAAGCTATTAAAAGAATTTATTTTATAAAAAAATATATATTTATATTACATACCTTTTTAGGTAATAATAAAGGATTGAAAAGATTCTATTATAAATAGAAATGAATAATAATCATCATTAACATGTACTCGTATCATCTAACGGAATTTATAACACGTACACAAACATACCAAACGATTGGAGACAGTTTCATCGATCAGTTGATTGAATCTGAGTTCTGCTTCTTTCGTGAGTTGTTTACACCAAGAATCATACCTCTCTAAATTTAACATTGGAAATATATTGCCATAAATTCCGTAATGCTTCAATGTATTAGAGAGTATCTTCATAAGAAAATAATAATTCATTAATCATATGAAAGCAAAAATTTTTTTTTAATCAAAAAAAAAAATAAAAGGTTTTTTTTTCGACTCTTTACCGAATAATAATACCATGGAATATTGTGCAGATATCGTTCAAACGCTTTTTTCCAATCCATCGGTGGTTCTACATACATATTATCTAAATTTCAGTTTATAGATTGGTCAGTTACGTGACTATTGTATGAAAATATATACGCTCAAAAAAAAAATTACGTGATCTCAATAACGAAGCTAACTCAATGTAGTTGTATGGAAGAAGAACAAGACATGCTTCTGTAGTATATTCATCTTTTTTGACGGCCGTTAAATAACCAAATGGTTGCCCAAGTACACTTTGATTTTGTCGTCCGCTATGTTCAACATAAACCTATAAACAAAAAATTTTATGATGTGTTGTGTATAATATTTAACACCATAAAAATCCGTTAATAATTTTCTACTTACGGGCCACTTAATTCCTATCTTTTGTTTTAATATTTCTCTGCTCAGGTCACAATCTGATAATGTATAAATATCGCGAGAAAAATGCGGCGGTAAATCAAACGTATCTGCACTCAATTGATCAGTCTTCCAAAATATGATTGTTGGTATCGATGGGCGTTTATGTTCATACTAACATACAATAAATAATTTAAAAACGAAATTATAACCAAATTACTAAGAAAATTGAATAATATATTTACTACTACTGTTTGGGAAAATCCCTTCATTGCATCAGGTTCAATCCAGTATTCTTCAGGAATTGGATAAGTTCCATTGATTTTATACGGATCGACATAGATATGAACAAAATGATTGATTCTCTCAGGAGACCCATCCACTAAACGAAAAGTATTAAATAATTATATCAATACACAATACAACAAAATTTAAAATTCGTTAATGAAAGTCTTATTCTTTAACCTTGTTCGACCAAATTTAAATGTACTCCACACGTCTTTTTCAATGGACGCATATGATTAAGTTTAGAAAGTGGGTATGGGTCATTTTTGATACCGCCAATGATATTATTAAATGCGTGAGCTATTTGTTCAAGCGTTTGAACTTTATATAATTGACCAAGCATTTTCATATTTATCCACTCCAACTGTCTCGGAAAATCGAACGAATTTGATTTCGAAAGATAAAAAGTATACAACCTTTGCTCCCATCGATATTTTTCTCTATATATATTAGAGCTTTTTTCTGAATCCTAATAAAATAATTTCAATATATTGATTGGTATATAAAATATGCTAAAAAAATTATATTTATTTACCGGATACATGAGTCCGTTATTTAACCAATCCAAATTATTTCCATCTGTAAACCAAAATATACAGGAAGTCTCATTGTGTTCTATGTAATTACCCTGAATTAAATTAAATATTAATTAATGACTCCGCAGTAAAAAGATTTTCACGTGATTAATCAAACACTTACTCTACAGAAAAAATCATGCCATCTACATATGCGACGGAAATTTAAATACTCGAAAACCGAGTCAAGCCCTGATCCGTAGAATGACGGATCTGGTTGTAATAACTCGAGTTGTTCAAATAATTTATATAGTTTATTTTCGTCCTTTTTGTATTCCCACTATAAATACAACGATTAAATTATATTACCTTCGTTCTTTTGAATTTATCTTAGGGAGAAAAAAACCTTACCTTTATACAGTATCCTTTTTTATCAGATGATACAAGAAGATATTTGGTACGATATTGATCTCGTCTTCCATTCATGTACTATTTATTTGAAGTATCAATGATGAGGATTCGTCAAATTTATATCATATATTTTGTGAAAATTTGTTTGAGTAAATATATAAATTTTTTTGCAATACATTTACCTCTAAAAAATTCCGAATTCCATTTTTAACAACATCCAACAAAGACAATCCGTCTTGAGTCTCATCATCACAAACGTCTATAACGAATGCTATAATCATCTTGAAACTGCTGCGCCATTAAATTTTAACAATTAAGTTTATATTTATATGATTAAGAATAAACCTTTTATTAAATTTATTTTAAATATTATAAATAAACGTTTAATACAACTCACATGATTTTATGCTATACCTTCTCGATTTAAAGAAAATGAAAGAACACGTGAAGGATCATAAATTATCAACCAATATTGCTGCGCCACAATAATTTTCCGCAGTATTATAGGACAAATTTATTAAATAAAATTTGCTGCGGTAGCAAAACTTACAAATCCCTTTTTTTTGCTCGAAATACTTAAGAATTTCAATGTAAGATAGTCACTGCTATTACCATAAATGGAATAAAAGAAGACAATATTAAAAAAATTTTTCTTCAAATAGCAAAACTACCTTAACCCATATTAATTGAACAAAAAGAATGTAAATGAAAGTTAGCTTCACTTTCTTAAGAAAATAAAACTACCTTCAGTCACCCAATACTTGCCTTATCCTCAAGGATAAGAATTTGGGTTTTACAAATTGAAGGAAAAAAGAAAACTCAAACCCCCCAAAGAAATCATACTGGCGCAAAACGTGTGCTTTTATATTTTCTAGATCTGCCCCTTGTACTACACAATCACGTGATATTATGCATTGTGTCATAAACTCATAAATTGGTTATTCATCAGTGGCTTTACGATCACATGACAGTATAATATTTGGTTAAGCCTTAAAGCAAAGAAAATCGAAAAGCCCTTATTATAAATAAAGCAATCGTCTTATCTTTAATTATTCACTTTAATTAGTAACACTTTTTTTTTTGTTCTTAAACAAACATGGTTGTTTTGTTGCAATAATTCTTATTAATTTAAATTTGTAAATAAACAATACATATATATCTACATGAGCAATCTCGACAAAATCACATCCCTCAAATTACAAAAATTAATAAATGTTCTTTGATAAGGATATTAAGCACCCTTGCACCTAAATTCAAAAAAATTAAAAAAAAAAATTGTATATATAGAGTCCGTTCTCTCTTCCCAAGAAGAAATTGTAATAAAAATAAACCAAAGAATTGATTGTAAAAGATATTAAATAAAAATATTACAAATAGTTTACGAATCTATAACGCTTATCCACCAACTTCTATTTCTTCCATCGGTACCATCTCATACCTATCTCTTTCCACATCAGCACTTGTTTTTGTTTTTACTGCTATACTACTACCACTAGCACCACTAGCCCCTTCTCCTATATCATCACTTAATGGAATTGGTTCCATCTCTTTTCTCATACAATAAATTTCACCACCAAAAATCATTATGCAACACGTTGTCACATTTAAAGCCCACCATATAAATGTTGTAGGTACATGACCAGAATAATAAGTAGTTATTAATAAATGAAAGAAATGCAAAGTCAAACTAAAATCTAAAACAAGTCTTGCTCGTTGTATAAGTCGTACGAGTATAAATATTCTAAGTATAAATTGAGATAGCGTTTAATAATGAATACAACAAACTTAAAATTAAATAAATATCGTTTTTTCTCGCATTAGGAAAACAAACTAAATACATTAGAAAGTCTAACTCACCCAACTACGGAATTTGCTATCCATGCGAACCCTATCGTCCATCCTAATACTGTATCTGCTCTAAACTCTCGATAGTCTAATAAGTGATCTAATGTTATATCAGTTCCTGTTATTAGAAGAGTGAAAAGTGTAATAATAGAGATAGAAGTATAATACAGAGTTTGCAAAGCAATAATCTAAATAAATATATATTGACAACATAATTAGTTTAAGAGGGTTCAATTTTCACCCGACTGTCTAGACTCCTATTTTACCTGAGAAATGATGAGAAGAGGATCCCAAACCGTTGTTCTAAATGTTTGAATCCTACGCATTGAAGAATGTATTCTATGAGAATAAGAAAAATAGGAAAAGAAAAATAAGAAGAAAAAATTTTAAATAAATTATTTTTTAAGCTGTGGCAGTGATAGTGGTATAATGCGCAGTTAATTTTTAACTTCAGTCATGTGAAATTTATATTTATAGACATTGGTAGATCAACTTGCAAGTAACAATAAACGTTAATCATATGATGCTTTATTAATTAATTTCATATTATTAGGGATAAACAAATAGACAATAGATCTTTACAAGGAATCGAAAACCATTAATTCTGTATCAAGTTTACGTAGGTTAGGCTTAATTGAATAAATAAATATAAGCGAAAAATATGAGTGTATGATTGTTATAAATTCAAACATTAAGAAAAAATTTTTTAATATTACATGTACCGTTTGAATAGTTTGCCTTTCCAAATTACGTTTTAGCTCTTGTTCCATTACACTCTTTTGATAACTATCCCAATCCACAGCAAAGATATCTTCTGAGACTTTTGCTTCAATCGATTGTGTACCGGTATTATCGTCTTCATCCAAATTGATTAGAGGTAACACTTCCACTGGAGTTACTTCAATATTTGTTTCAGATATTACTTCATGATTAACTTTAGAATCCGATTCAGGATTCACGTTAGGATTCGCTTCAACTTCAGAACTTATTTCAGTTACTTCGGGAGTTACTTTAGGATTTATCTCAGGGTTTATATTGGGAGTTACTTTGGGAACTTCGGATGCCACTTCAAGATCGACTACTTCAGTCTTTAATTCTTCATTCGTACTAATGATTTTATTATGGTTAATGATACTGATATTTAATTAATTCATAAAAATAAATAAATAAATATGTAAAAAACAAACCCTTTTGCAGTTAAATCACGAATGTTTATCGTGATCTGTAAAATAAAAGAATATATTATTATAAAATTTAAACAACGCTTCGAAGTTTGAATATTAAATTACCACATGTGGGTGTTCTGAATTAATAATTGTCTTTTGTTGTTCTTTTGGTGATTCTGATTTATTAATCTTTTGTGAAAATTCACATGTCGATACCTTAATTTAAAAAAACATGAATAAAGCGATATAAATAAAAAATGTGTTTAATGATTAAAAAAAAAGGTATAATTACTTCTTGAGTATTATTATTATTTAATTCGTTATTTATATTTAACGGCGAGACCTAAAATAAATTTAGTTAATGAAAAATAATTGAACTTTGGATTTCTTAAATATGTATGGATTAAAATTAAAAATATTTACTGGCGCTGTCGCGTTTTTTGCGTTTTTTGTATCCTTTTGATCAGATTGATCAGATTCGAGAGATTCATATTTGTCATGAGTCCATACTTGATCCGGCTCATTATTATTTATACTTTTCTGAAATACAATTAAAAAAATAATAATAATAATATAAAATATATAAGATCAAAAGAATAAAATTAGAATTTTAAGAATATTATAATTAAAGAAATGTTACTGGTTCATATTTAGTATGTGATCCATCGTCACTACTGGCGTATGAAGCAGATCTAGACTTTGGCGGACGATAAATGTTGTCTGTAGAATATTTACGAACCCTAGAGAAATTTTCCTTATGATTTTGATATTCACATTTTTCTCTGATATTCTCTTTAGTATAATCACAATCGCTTCCAGATGAAGTTGATGAGTTTCGAGGTTCTTCCGCAATTGGATTATCTTCTTCCCATTGATTACCTAATGAAATATTATTTAATTAAAAACAATTTTCATGATAAGCATTTAACATAACTCGAAAACTTACATTTATTCGATTCATCATCAGTACGATAATTACAATTACGATCTTGATAATCATCTTTAGAATTCGAATTTGGCATAGTATGACGACGATAAACATTTGGTCTATCATGATGTCTATTATCAAGCGTCCAGACGCCCCTTCCTCTTACACTTCGACCGCGTTGTGATTGAGACCATGATTCTCTTCTTGGTCTTTGAATTAATGAATCATTAATTTTATCGGGTTCTTCCTAAAAATTATTATTTATTAAAGGAAAGAAAAAAAATTTTTTTTTTTTTTTTAACTTGAGAAACCAATATTATTTCAAATTAACAAAAACTCACAGGAGTTTTTAGATTTAAAGCTGTCGCGTTCCAACTTCTAAACTGTTGTGGCTTCTTACGATACATATTCTCGTTTTGAAGAATGAAAAAGGTTTGAAGATATGATAGTGGGAATATTTTTGCTATTTATTGATTTTTTGGGGGATGAATATCGAGAGGGCCTTCTTTTAAGGGATAGTTTCACTAAATTAATGGTAATGAATTGTAGACAAAAAGTTCACAAGATCTATAACTTTTATCCATTAAAAGCAAAAACTAGCAATCAAACAAGAATATTGTAATACAATCAACGGTTATTGTTTTCAAAACCAGTTAGATTTTCATACTATTTTTGAAATTTAAACTACTGATGATAAGAGAAAAGCCATTTTCGGATATGATATTTTAATGCATGTATTAGTTACTATTTATTTATTTCAATTAAAAAAAATGTTAAACCCTTTCAGTTTAGTAATTTTTATTATTAGAACCTTTGTTTTTTTTTTTTGTTTTATTTGTTATTGAATAACCAGGAGTAATTATGGTCGACAATCAAAAAATGATGCAATGTATTATCATTATCGATATTCACGTGATTTATTATTACATCCCGTATTAAAATTGAAGTAGGATCTAAAGTATTGGTATTCTTCATCATTTGAAAATAAAACATTTAATTTACATTTTGAGAACAGTGTTTAAATCTTAAATCTTCAAAATCATTCAATTATAAATATTAGAATCTTTGATATCAAAACGTAAATAATATTAAATCTTTGTAAATCTTCGATAAATTACAAACAGGTGAGTAAGTAGGATTTCACACTCTCTTTATAAAGGCTTGGTGGCCGCGTTATTGCTAAGCTTTCATTTTATTGGATCATGAAATTTTCACTGATAATCGAGGCTAACAATTTCCGTTGAGGCTTAATTTTTAGATTTTTAGTATAAGCCCAAAATTGAGTATCAAAAATACTTGAATTAAATCATTAAAAGGGGTTTCAATAAATATTATCACGTAAATTGTATTTAAATCATTTAATCAAATTATCCTTAAGATATCAGGACGCAAATGACGAGTGTATGCCTATGCAAACTTATGCAACTTACGCAAGCTTACGCCAAACATATTTTATACCATTTTCATGCTTTCATGCTTTTACTCTTTTAAAAAAAAGGGGGGTGGATAAAATATGGATCTTTTATAAATTTTATCACTTATCCAAAATTTGGGTGTTGAGTATTGACCAATCAAATTGTGAATTCTTTGAAATTTTTCTACGCAGGAAATGCTATTGTTTTATTTAACTTGTATCACATACTTTGATTAAAATAATCGTCAACAAAAGCTTTTGTTCAAATAACTTTTTTGGATAAAATACGCAATAAATTTACTTTTTAATACTTAATATGGTTAAAAAGTTGAAAACAAAAACCACTTTATGTTATGACTTTATTAAGATTTTATTGACAAAGAATCCATGTACTGTAAGTCATATATTAATCACGTGATAAATTAGAAATATTTATTTCATTACATGAAAATCTCTCTATTCTGACATTACGAGTTTACGTCATAAAAAACCTTTTGTTTCCCAAACTGGAATCGTTCTAGTGAGAGGAGGGTCCCTTCACTTAGAAAATACCCCATAGCTCTGCCCTAATTCCAAGATATTTGACATGGGGTACACCTCGTATCGAAATTTAAAAATGTCAAATTTTAAAAATTAGGTAACCATAAAAAAAGTGGGACACAGCATACACACACAGAGTATTGAAAAGTTTTTAAACTAGTGTAAAATATTTATGGTTAGATCAAATGAATATCAATATCTCTTTCATATTTTTATTACCTTTATTTGATACCGTGTCATCATGATTGACTTTATATTGGCTTTTAGATATATCTTATATTTTACATCGTTTTCAAATATAATGACGAATCTTCTTTTTTTTTGACCTTTGACAAGATTTAGACCAGTCTCTTTCTTTGGCCCATCTTTTAATCATACCTTCAGATTCCTAATGTGAAAATTACATACGCTGAAATATAACTTAAAATAGTTCCTTTTCTATATATTTCTTTTATAAATTTTACCTATATTCTTAATTGCCGCAAGTAGTGGCCATTTAAAACTCGTTTAATTTATGAAATTTTTATAAAATAGTGTATCAATTTGACATATAATAAACATATATATATACATATTTTTAATTTAACATTAAATTTGGTCTTTTATTATTTATAACAATAATAATAATAAATTTATTTGTTATATTATTAAATTACTAATAAGGTATTAGGATATTAATATAATTTTTATTAAATTTATATATATATAATTTGTATATTAATTCTAGTTAAAATTAATTACTAGTATATTTTACTAAAAATAAACAATTCTTTATTATTATAAAGGTTATTCTTTTTATATAATAATATATAAATTTATTTTATTTTAAGTTGTCAATATAAAAATTAAAAAGTTATTAAACAAACTTTCTATTGAAATAAAAAAAAAGTTGTTAATTATGCAAAATATATAGCAAAAAAATATATAGTAATAATCTTAATTTATTTAGTATAATTAAATATTGGATTAAAATAAATATAAATTGAATAATTAATAAAATAAATGATAAAAAAAAAAGGAAAATTAATAATTAAAATAATTAGTAACAATTATAATTTTAATACTTTTAATAAAAAATAATAATAGTATAGTAATTTTTATTCTTTTATTATCAAATTATCTTACAATATATTATTTACTATAGATATATTGAAAATAATAGCAATATATATTTTGTAAAAAAAAGATAAATCAGTTTAATACTTAATAATATCCGATATTCCATAGGATCATGTAAAGCAAAATTTTATAGTTATCTGATAGTATTTTATATGCAATATCAAATATAAAATTTATTTCATTATTATTTATACACGTAATAAAATTATATTTATATACATTATCAATTCTATAAGCTAATTAATGAAAGAAAGAAAATAGGTGATAAGATTATATTTTGTTAGACTATTAATAAACTATTTATACATGATCATTGAGGCCTTTCGGATATAAAATTTATCTAATAGAAAATGATTACATTATTTTTACTTATTACAAGAAAATGATTGGCTGAATAAGCCACTTCATGCCTTATTTTCAGCCAATCATTTACCTTCCATAAGTAAAAATAATGTTATTTACTCTTTTCCATCAGATAATAATATATTATATTTATGAATCAATTTATATGGAATACTAATTCTAACCAAAAAATTATAATTTTGGCTAGAATTAAAAAATACACATTTTTTTAAAAAAATTTCAATTTAAATAATAAATGTGTAAAACAAATCTAAATAAATACTAATTATACTAAAATTTTGAAAATTTAGCTAAAAAAAAATCTTTTTAAAACAAAAATTGTATTTTACTTTTTACTGTTAAAATTAAACTTTCCTGTTTTTCTTAAAAACTATTTAAATAACAGTTTTTTATAATTTAAGGAAAACTTATTTTACTTATAAATTTACATATAATAATGATATTTATATTATGAAAGGTCTTGTAGTCTTTACTCGCTTAGACTGAGAGAACGGAATCTCCTCTAAGAACGAGTATGCATGTATGATGTATAAACGCAAAAAGTACTCTCATAGCATAATAACTGCCTAACAGTATACACATGGGATCTTTGTAAGAAGATAACAAGTGGTTTAAAATTTATTAAATTAGATTAGAACTTTTGTATACACTTGTATGTATAATATAAATTATTTTTTTTCTAATAAAGTTTTAAATATGCTGCAGTCAGCAAAAAAAAAAGAAAGATATTTATATTATAAATATAATAATATCTTAAGAAAAAATGTATTTGTAACAGCCTGTTACATATCTTATTTGTAACATCCTTTTTTTATTTTTTTTTAATAATAAATTTAATATGTGTTTCACAAATAAAATTTTTATATGCAAAATTTAATTTGGAAAACTTTTACTTAATGTAATTAAGATAGTTTCATAGACAAAATTTTAAGTTATAAGCAGTTTCTTGAAATTTTTTAAAAAATTCTTTTCTCTTAGTTACACGACTGATCTTTTGTTTTTGTTTACATTACGCCTGATCTTAAATTTTAATTGGATAAAATTGGGGTTGTTACAAATAAGACGCGTAACAGGCTGTTACAATTAGATTTATCCATATTTTAATTAAAAATTTTAGAAATTCAAAAAATATTTTTATATATAGTAATAATCACTACTGGTAATATTTAGCAATATCCAAGAAAATTAAAGAATTGAAATTTTACCTTTAAAATTTCTTTTTAAAGACATTTAAAAAGCCAAAAATTTACAAAAAATAAAATTGAAATATTAGTTAACTGCTAACATTTTGTTTAAATAAAATAAAAAAATAGAATTTTAAAGTATTACTTTTAAAATTCTATCCAGAAGCTGAAAATCTAAAAAAAAATAAAAGAATATTAGAAACGTTTTTTTATAAAAATAAAAAAAACATGTTTTATAATAAAAAATTTATTATAAAAACTTATCATGTTAAAGTTTCAAAAATTTTAGAGTACAAGAACTTATAAAATAAAATAAAAAAATATTAGAAATATTCTTTAAAAAATAAAAAATATTGAAGTTTTGCAATAAAATTATTATGAAATTTATCATGTTAAAACTTTAATATTAGAATTTACAAATTAAATAAAAGAACATTAGAAATATTTTTTTATAAAATAAAAAAAAAATTTTTATTTTGCAACAAAAATCATTATAAAACTTACTATTTTGATTTTATTAAAGTACTAAAACTTATAAAAAAAAATGTTAACTACCATTTTGTTAAAACTTTACCTACTATTAAGATAAGTTTTCCTATAGCTTAAGATAAAGTTTATATATAAAACTCTTTAAAAATCCTACTATAAAAGGAAATTTTATGTTACATTGTTGTGATGTTTTCCTTTTAAGGCCAGACCAATTGGATAATGTGTTTAACGTAACATCTTGGCCAAAATTTAGAGGGGGGAGAGGTAAATAATCAACACCAAATTTTAAACACCATATAAAAAATTTTGATGGCTAGTATAAGTATAAAAAAAAATAATTTTAAATTTATAAAAATGTAAATATTTGTATTATTTATATTTGTAATTGAATAAATACTTAAAAGAAAATTAGTAAATTTATTTGCATTGCAGATTCGTAAAATTATATTATTCAGTTTGATTTATGATTTACATTAATACTACAATAAAATATTTATTGGTCATGCTTTTGTTTTTTAGTTTGTATTGGCATTTGATAAAAAAAATCCAGCCCTTTATCTTGGCAACCTGCATATAAAGAGAGTATTGATTTATATTTTTCCATTAGTGAATCCAGCTTGTCCTGTAAATCATCTATCTGTTGATCCACAATGGTAGCACCAATCAGAATGGACTTTTTGACAAGAATAGTAAGTAAATTCCATTGGTATTTTACAACAAATTTTCTCCTAAACAAACACTTTATCAAACAAGTTGTGATTCTGTGGAAAAACGGTAGATCCACATGTATAAGGCTAGTTCTCTATAGCATGTTGAATCTCAAGACCATCTTGTTCAGTAAGCTGCCTCCCACTAAATAAGCAACGTACCTTTGAACATTCATTACAAATTATGAATTCACGAACCTTGGTATTAATATACAATCCTGATGGTCCTCTTTCCGTACCAGTAGCAGTAATTTTTTTAGATGGTTGATGCTCATCAGTCGTAAGTTTATTATACACCATAGAAAAATTGGCATAATAATCAGAATCATGAGCTATATATTATTAGTTTAATATTCTGATTTGGTAATATTGAAATCAAATTAAATCGTACCTGCTGGCGTTGGGTCTGGAAGAAAATCAAGAGATTCAAAAACTTCTTGTGGTGTTCGTGGCATATTACAAATTTTACATTTAATGTTGCCACATTTTTTTATCTACTAAAACAATGTATTTTATACTACTCAAGTTAATGAATTTTAATGAATTGATGTTAATTAAAACTAAAATCAAATTATTGTAAATTTTGAATTCATAAACCTATAAATACATACTTGGAATGAATAAGTCTGAATTTGTCAATGTGTTTGAATAAAGTTTTGTAAATCAGAATTTTGTTGAAGTATTGATTGTGTAGTTTCATCACAACGCAAAGTTGAATCAATTGAAATAATTGTCTACAATAAAAGATTATAATAAGCTATTTGAGTTTAACAAAAAAATTATTTAATTCTGAAATTACCTCAAAAAATCTTGCAATTTCTTCATCATCTGCAGGACTTTTACATATAAAATTTTTGTTATCTAATACTAATCTTTCTGTTTGCCTATTTAGAATCTGCTGAATAGATTTAATTGAATTTCTAAGTTCACTTTCTAATTGTGAATTGTTTTTAGCAACTAAACGAATTTCTTCTAGTGTATTTTTTCTAGAAAACAAATCTTCTATTTCGCTACTCATCTGATCTCTAAGGAGAGCCACGCCTTGTAAATCAAGATTTAAAATTGACATTATTCTTTCAGCTGGATTTGTCCAACTTTGTGCTGGGGCTGTTCTCATTGCTATTAACATATCAAAATTATCACGAATAAACAAACACAGAAGAGACACTTAAACAGATCCATAAGTTGTTCGATGGTCAGGCCCTCCATCAGTATAAAGACACATGATAGGTGGAATTTCAGTAGAATTAAGATAGTAATCAGAAAGTGTAAAAAAGAATTTTGTGGAATGGCAAATTCCAGAACTAGATTCAAAAACTGTTTTTGTATGAAGTATAGACTTTTCCATGATAAAATGATTCTGAAATGGAGGCAGGTATCTTACATAAAAGTATTACTGAAGGTGTCAAGGATAATTTTGTAAAGTCATGATCACTTGCTGCCAAAATTGTGTTATCAGATATCAATGATTTCCTATTATGAACTCCAGTTGAGGTAGCAACTTCTTCACCAATTGCTACTTTGTGCTTGTCATTAGCATAAATAAATACTGTGTACTTTTGATACTTAATAGCAAATTCACGTAAATAACGAAAATATCCAGCACAATAATGACTGTCTGAATGATCTTTTCTTAACAGACGTTCTTGAACTTTATATCTGATATTAAATTTTCCAGTATAATTAATTGCTGAATGTGCTAGAGTATTTTTTGGAGTGAATTGAACATGAATCCATTCATCACTAGGAATGTTGATTTCTAAAGGAAGAGGATTTCCAAGCCTGGTTTGCAATCAGGATATTATTGATTCTTGCAAATCTCTAATTGAAAGAACTATTGGCATATAAAGAGTAGAACCATGACACCTATAGGACCCCAGACATCACATATATAACTCACATTTGAGTTTTAGCAAATTCAATCAAAATTAGGTTAAACTCATAATTTTAGAAAGAGCAAATTGATTGAAAATTAATTAATAGTCATAATCTGTCTCTTATACACATCTAGATGTGTATAAGAGACAGATAAAGAGTAGAACCATGACACCTATAGGACCCCAGACATCACATATATAACTCACATTTGAGTTTTAGCAAATTCAATCAAAATTAGGTTAAACTCATAATTTTAGAAAGAGCAAATTGATTGAAAATTAATTAATAGTCATAATCTGTCTCTTATACACATCTAGATGTGTATAAGAGACAGAGCATAATGCGGGCCAAAAACCGTCCGTTTAGTTTCGCAACATTTTATTTTTTAATAATTATTTATTTAATTTATTATTTTTATTAATTATTATTTTATCTATAATCTACATATTTTAATTATAAAAATTGGCAGTTTAATTTATATTAATCATTTATTTTTTTATTGATAATAAAAAAAAAGATTATTAACTCATATTTTGAGTTTTAGCAAATTAGTATAGATTTGAAATGTGATAATTTGATTTTTAGCAAATTAGGTCTATTTTAGCAGGAGCAAAAAGTACTTAAATTCATGCAGATCAGTTATGAGTTATATATGCGATGTCTGGGGTCCTGTTTTACTACTATAGCCATAATTAAAAAAAAAAATTTATTTTCAATATTTTTTGTAATATATTAATTAATATTGAAAATTAATTATTTTTAAAAATTTTTACTATAAAATTATAATACTAATGATAAATTAAAAAATTTTAAATTTTAAAAGGTATTTAGAGAAAATTAAAGTTTATCAATTTATAAGTAATATTAGTTTTATAACAAATAAAAAGTTTATTATAAAAATATTATATATGTAAATAATAAAATTTATAATTTTAAATGTATTTTTTTTTTTTTTTTGCAAGATAGTGTAATTTGTGAATTTATTAATTATATAAAATACAGAAAATTCTGTTACATATATAATTAATTTGTTTAAAACTCCAAACCGATCCTCCATCTATAAGATTGCTTTCGTGCTCTACCATCACCCTATGAAATTTTCCTATATCCTTCCATAGTAGCTATCAGATTATATAGGATTATTATAATCACATAGTTTTAGTAAATGCTTTTACTACCCTCTAAACAAAAAGAATTATTATATTTGTATTTATACAACTTGATATTATTATATATCTTTCAAATTACTCTATTTCCTTTTTTAATAAATTGATTTATATATTATCTTGTTTTTTCTAAAACAACTGACTACTGTTCATTATGCTTGAAAATTTTTCTTCCTTTCAAATCATATACACCACCCTTTATTTGCTGGGTTGAAATTCTCTCATATATAATACGTTATTGTGCTAATATTTTTTTTCTTAAGTCTTGCTTTTTGATTCCTTTTGTATATTCACATTCTGCAACTAGGTTGCAACATGATTGCCAAATAACCTTATAAAATCCATTAATAAATATTTCTAAAAAAAAAAAATAATTGTTATAACTTTTTTTGACTTAACAATAAATCTGAGTTCCTTTTGAAAAGAAATTTCTTAACATTAGATGTACAAATGGAATAGGCAACTCTTGATTAAAACCTGTTATATAAATTTTTTAATTTTTTTTTCATATTTTTAATTGTTATTATTGGTCACCATTAACCATTTATCTCTGAGTTGCTGGCAATAAATTATATGATTATTATTTTTATTTTCTACAAGACATAGCCTGCATTTTATATCTTCATATAAATCATATTTTCTTTCTTTCATAATTTTCAGAGTTGATAGTAAATTATTTGTAAGTTTCAAGTATTTAATAAAATTGTTATTTACTGATGTTGTTGTACAGTTAAATTCTGTGTTCTTTTTAAATAATGCCCAAATAACTTTTTCTTTTATTATATATATCATATCTTGAAAAATTGTTTTGTATATGTGATTGAAAGACCATAATGCTTTTAATGTAAACTTACATAAATTATTTATGAATTTTCTGATATGTCTGTCCACTCTTTTACCATTCCAATATAAATCAAATTTTAAGTCCTTTTGCTATGAATCATTAATTGTGATGCAAATTAATTTTTCTGTATTATTCTTAGCCACTCTGTCTGTTTTTTCATTACCTTTGACTTCTGAATGGCCTTTGACTTTTATTAGCTTTACTTCTAAATGTTTGCTGTTAATAAAATTGATATACTACTAATTATACTGTAATTGTTGCTTTTGCATCATATTCATATTTTATCTTTCCATTCATTAATTTTATTCTTGTGTGATTGATGCTATCTATTGTGACTTAAGAATCTGTAAAAATATTTGCTCTCTAACCTATTTGTAAAACTAATATAACTAATAAAATAGCTTCCAATTTTGTACATGTAGATAATGGCCATTCATTTCAGTATTACCTTATTTTTATCATTCATTATTATCCAACCTGTACCCATGTATTTTGTAAAGGTGTTTAATTTTGTATTAAAGCAGTTTATTAATGAACCATCTGTATATATATTAATCATATTAAATGTATTGAATATTGATCTCAAGTGGTGCAGTATTGCTATATATTATATCATAGCTTTTCTATTTGATAATATATTTTAGATGAGATTGTATTATAATCATGTATCTGTATAAAAACGGGTATCTGTTCTGAGATATGTTATTTTTCTAAATGATTTTTAATCTCTATAATATCTTTAATAATTTTGGTATCTGGATTATTTTGGTAATTAAAAATCCTATTTATGTAAGTTAAGTCTGAATAGTCATTGTTGAAATTGCAGTTATAGTTCTTTTTATTGACTCTTCTATCATTAATTTGCAACCACTGTAACGTAATATAACTTTATATATGCCGCTATCTTCATTTTGGTTATTACTATTCATGACCTAATGTTATATTGTACACTTTCCTGTCTTGTTCTTTCTATTAATTTATCTCAATACTAGTGTACAGTTCTGATATATATATACAAACTCTTTTTTCCTGCTATCTGTAGATGGCATTTTTAAAGCTCTGAACGGTTCAGTTCAGTTCTATTTTTCAGTTCTTTTCTGATTAGTCAGAATCTGTTTTGCACAATAACTCGCCATTTAGTGATCGTAAAAACCCGATCAATAGCTCGTTGAAATCATCTCATCGAGACGGTTTGAATGGTACTAAAATCATTCTTCTAGTATTGATAGATGGCGAATTGTTATTTGAAAAATTGGCAAAATTAACTCTTCATCTATCGATGCTAAAAGGATGATTTAGTACTAAGGTTGCTTGCCAAAACCTCTCCAAAATCCTGCGATAAATTTCGGCAAGATTTTACTATATGTTTACTATAGTTTCGGCAGGATTTCGGCAGTTTCGGCAAATGGGGGTTTCAGCATTTCGGCAAAGTTTCGGCAGGATTTTTAATATGATTTAATATAGTTTTGGCATTTTCTGTATAGGTTTCGGCAGTTATTAAGAAGGTTTTGGCAAGCAACCTTATTTAGTACCATTCGAACCATCTTGATGGGACGATTCTAATGAGTATTAATCGGGTTTCTACGATCACTGAATGGTGAGTTATTGCGCAAAACGGATTCTGACTAGGGATGGCAACGGTCAGTTATAGTCGGTTATGGTCGGTTATAATCAGTTATAGAAATTTAAACAGTCAGTTATGGTCAGTTAAAAAATTGGTTAAACGGTCGGTTAAACGGTCGGTTATACCATTTTACTTAAATAATTAGTCAAATGGTCAGTTAAACGGTTAAAAATGTTCAGTCAAATGTTTAAATGGTCGGTCAAACGGTCAGTTAAATGTGGTTAAATGGTCAGTTAAACGGTTATGATTATAACCGTTGCCATCCCTAATTCTGACCAATCAGAAAAGAACTGAAAAATGGAACTGAATCGAACTGTTCAGAGTTTTAGGCATTTTCTTTGTCATTTTAAATTAGAGCTCTGAACAGGTCAGCCAAATTCAGGTAACCTGACCTGACCTAACCTGAAATTCAGGTCAGGTATGAAGATTAACCTGACCTAATTGACCTGTTGACCTGAAACTATTGATTCTATTATATAATAAAAGTGAGTTGCAGTATTGCGATTCACTTTTTTATATAGATTCTATATAAAAAAGTGAATTGCAATACCGCAACTCACTTTTTTTATACAAAATCAATATAAAAAAGTGAATCGCAATATTTCGAGAAAAAACGTTGCGAAAACATTTTTTCATAATATTATATTAAAAAAATGGTTTGTAACATTTTTTTTTTTGATATTTCAATAATAACGTTGGGAAAACATTTTTTTCATAATGTTATATTAAAAAAAACGTTTTGCAATATTTTTTTCAATATTTTAATAAAAAATGTTGCAAAAATGTTTTTTTTTCATAATATTATATTAAAAAAAAAAAGTTTTATACCGTTTTTTTTTAATACTTTAATAAAAATAGTCCTGAAATTTTTCAGGTTTCAGGTCAGGTCAGGTCAAACAGACAACCTGATATAACCTGACCTGACCTGACCTGAAAAAAAATTTCAGGTCAGGTTTATCAATTAACCTGACCTGACCTAATCCATTCGGAGCTCTATTTTAAATACTTCTTATACACATCTAGATGTGTATAAGAGACAGGACCTAATCCATTCGGAGCTCTATTTTAAATACTTAAATACTTGCATATTAATTATGATTTCTCTATCAATTTCTGTTTCAATTTCTGAGTTTGAGGACTCTATATTAGTTTTGCAAAGGTCTTTAAGCTGAGTTGACTGTTATATGAAACCTGATAATGTAGTGAACTATTTTGGAGTTCTATTTCTTGTTTGTCTCTTATTAATTTTACATATTTGTTGAGAGGGCTACTGCTTTCCTTATAATAAATTCTTTTTCTTTCTTTTGCAGCTCTGACATTTGTTGGTATATGAACTTTTTCCCATTTGAGCCAATTATTGGTATGTTTCATTCTTCACTTTCTGCTAACGGATGAATTTTTAGAAAATATTAAATATATATAATTAACCAATCAGTTTTTTTTATCAGGTTTTTTTTATATATGATATAAAATCAATAGGTATAAACTGGTTAATTTTAAATTAAAATTATGCCTGAATTGATGAAATAACAAATTAAGTTAACAGGTAGTTTGTAATTCTATTAGCAAGTAAATTGCATTTTTTAAATGCCATGAGGTTTTTAGGCTAAGCAAATAGCAATCCATACTTCTGATACATAAACTAGTAATTAAAGTTATAAGTTATATTTTATTTAATATTTCTATCTAATTAATAAATAATAATAATTTATTTTTTATTTGACAATATTAGTAAAAAAAATATCTATTAAATTCTAGAAAGATTTCTTCTATTACTTTTTGTTTTCTTTTTACTCTAAGTATTTTACGTTTAAAACAATTATCACTATAGTATAAAGTACTAAATAAGTAATTTATTCAGTACAATTTATTATATTTATTTTTAATCATAAAAAATTATGTAATATCAGATAATTAATATTTATAGTTTTTCTTTTTCTTTTTAAATTTTTGCTAATATTTTAATTATTATTAGATATAACTTATATACATTATATATATATTAACTTGTTAATGAATTTTTATTAGTTATTTTATAAATATATTAAATATATTTAAACATGTAAAAAAATGTTTTATAAATAATTATATTTTAAAACTTTATATTAAATTTTATATAAATTGACAATAAAGTTAGCAGTATCAACATATCGGCTGATCAGAAAAGCCCCCCATAATTTTATATGCTAATGACAATAAGTAACCCATCAGTTATATAATGAACCCATCAACTGAGCTTAAATATTAATTGGCTTGATTTTCCAATCAGCCGATATGAATACTATTTTTGCAAGAATTACTGTTATATATCCAATGGTATTAATTGTAATTTATTCAACAATTAGTAGATGTATTATTATCAAATTATAATATTTTAAACCTCAAAAGTTATATTCAAGTTTAATTATAAGAATTGTAATACTAGAAACATTTACTTCTAAAATATCTAAAATATCATAGATTTATATTTTATGTATTAATAAAACATTTGCATACTACTTTGCATACTACTAATAAGAAATAAACTCTAAGTATTATTATTATTAAATCTATGAATCATTTCATCTGCATGATCTTCTCGATCGTAACACCAGGTCTAGGAACAAATCTTAATTTATAAGGTTTAGGAAATTTATTTTCAACATAATTTAAATCCAATTTAATAGGTTTTTGAGTAATTGGATCAACATCATTTTCGATATTAAATAAAGTAAGTACATAACCAACAGTTGTAATTAAATTTCTTTCAGCAAGATGTAGACCTACGCACATCCTTCTTCCTCTGCCAAAAGCCCAAGGATCTCTTAATTCATCATATTTTTTAAGTTTTCCATTTTCGTCAAGATAATGTTCAGGATAAAATTCATTTGGGCGTTCGAAAAGTTTTTCACTTGTATGAGCAGATTTAAAACTTGCAATTATGACAGATTTTTCTGGAATGTAATAACCTCTATATATATCATCTTTTGTTGTTGAATGTTTCAATAATAAATTTAATGCTGGCCTAATAAAAAGTAAAGAACATTTATAATTCATCTCGCAATTTTTTTTTTTTTTTTTTAAAAAAAAAAAAACCTGGCGCAATTAATTAATAAAAGTAAAAAGCTTTCTTTAATGGTTGCAAGAAGGTAAGGTAAATTTGAATCATCTTCAGGAGTTGGAAAACGATTTCCTTGAAGACATTCATCCAATTCTTTTTGAATCTTTCGTTGCACTTCGGGATGATTTACAAGAAGAGCCTGTTTTTTTTTGTAAATATTTATAACATGAGAATCCATTATTTTGATATCGAAAGAAAAGAAAGATACATACCCAGATCCAACGTAAAGCAGCAACTGTAGTACCTGTACCAGCGACTAAAAAAGCATTATTCAGACCCATAAAATCCACTTCATCAAAAACAAAATTTTTTTTTGAATCATCATCATCATTTTCCAAAGAATCTTCATAAGGTTTTGTAGCAATATCAGTAGAAATATTCATATTCTTTAATACATGAGCAGCAAAACTATTTTCTTCTCCATCATTTTCTTTAAGTCTTTGACGTAAATCTTCTAATAATTGTTTAGACATATCATCAAGTAAATATTTTGCTTTATAAGCGTAGGAATACAATATTTTATCTATAAATGGAATATATTTTATCCATGGAAACATTTCAAAATAAGAATTTCCTGGATTTAAGACTTGAGCAAATCCGACAAACATTTGTTTTATTTGTTGTGATAATTTTTCTGATTTTTGCCCATAAGATATTGTGGCAAGTAAATCTATTAAACTTGATCTCATATCATCGGTTGGATCAAAAACTTTTGAAGAATGATTGAACAATTTTATCATGAGATCTTTTACTTCTGTTTGAATAATATTACGATAATTATTATCGACAACCTTTTGAGTAAGTGCTTGATGTGCTACTGCACGCATAGCTCTCCAATATTTTCCGTACTACAAAATTTTTTTATATCAGATACACGTATCATAATGTATTATATATACTCAATTATAAATAATTTACGTACCGGAGAAAATCCTATAGATTTTCCACCACTAGTATAAATTCCTGTAATAGCTTCATTATACTGAAAAAAAAAATTCAAATTTAAATTAATATACAAAGTAAATGAGGTCTTAATATTGCAAACAAATGCTCTCTCCTGGAAGGTTACGGGACATTTCGGTGAAACGACATTTCGGTGAAATGACCTTCGGTGAAATGACCTTTCGGCGAAATGACCTGTTACCCTCCTGGAACTAGAGGTTGGAATCGATTGATAAAAATGATCAACATTTGACGATTTTTTTCCCAAATTAAAAACTTACGGGTCTTGAGGAATAAATAGCACCACGTTTCACAAGCAAATCTCTTATAATCTCATAATCATTTAATATAATCCAAGTTTCCGCTCCATAATGAACTTTAAATATTGGACCATATTCTTTAGAAAATCTGTCAATAAAATTTTGCATTGGTACATCCTTGATTTGATGTAAATTTCCAATAATCGGAAGTGGTTTTGGTCCTGGAAGAGAAATACATTTATTTGGAAATTGTGATTTTTTACGTTGATTGAAGATAATATAGACTATTACAACAGAAATTAATGTAAATAATAATGTGGATAATTCCATCTTCTTTGAGAGAATTGAAAAGAAAGTAAGTAAAGAATATATAATACGGGTCCTATATAATACAGATATATAGATATCATGAAACACTAATACAATAATAGTGTTCTATTTTGTTATACCAATTATACAATAATATTACGTGCTTATTACCATTATATTACATAATATATTTAATTACAAATCATTTTTGGATTAAAATATTTTATTTATTTTTGGACTAATTTTGTAAAAAAAAAACTATATAAAAAAAATAAAAATAAATGTATTAAAAATATATATATATATATATATATTAGCTGATTTTTCTAGTTATTACTAATTTTAATATCACTACACTATTTAAAATTAAATAAAATCCTATTCCTTCCTACTAACCATCCTTTTCAGGAAAGTCATACCCTTGTTCTTATTTTGATCATTACCTAAATTACCATTACTAGCATTATAAGATTTATTTAATACGGCATCAAGTCCTAATTTTTCATCATTTTTGTCCAATTTTAGTACATCGCCCAAATAATTTTGTGAAGATTCAGGATTACCTATTTCTCTTGAGACATTTTCACCTTCTTCTAATCTTTCTAAATCTTTTTTATTACTGCTTGCATCACTTGAAGCAGCTACTAAACCACCAAAATCATCCGTATCATCATCATTAGATCCTTGTGAACCATTTGAATGTCTCAAACGGTTTGTTGCTTGATATAATCTACCTATTATATTTATTGTTAAATTTACGGCTGAAGAAATTAATGTAAGTAAGGGAATAATATTATCGTAAGATACAGTAAATTTTCTATATAAAATCTATAATGAAAAAAAAATACATATTAGCAAAACTCCCGAAATAATATCATTAAGATTAAAAAAAATAAAATAAATTCATACCTGAATGATTACTTGAGGAACATCCTCAATAAAAATGTTTATACAAGCACCCCAAAATATTTTTGATTTAGCTTCATCGGAAAAAGGAGCTCTGAAAAATGGAAAACCGGCTAAATTTGAATGTAAAATATTTAATGCTTCGATATCAGCACCAGCTAATACAGTAAATACGCTTGCAACTTTTCCATGAGCCGTGAACCATTGAAAAAATTTTGGTCTTGTATTTTCTTGTGTTATAATATAAAAAGCTAATATTGTATTTAATCCTATTGGCAATGTTACAAACACGACACTTTTTTTTTTTTTTAAAAAAAAAAGTATGATTAATAAGAATGAATAATTAATTGAATCAACAAAATTATGTAAATTAACGAATGAAATTACAGAATTATCTTACCTTGGTATATAAAGTACAGGAACGTCTCTGGCGTTACTACTTACAAAAGCAACATCCAAAACCAAATCGAAAATAATTAAACCAAGTTGTAAAATAGCAATGTTATTACCCTAAAAATATGCGTATAAGAAAAATTTAATATATTTACATAATTTAATGTAATTATAAAAGTCAAAGTCTTTAAAATAACCTACATTGCTATCTCTTCTTTGAGCGAATAAGAATAAAACAATCAAAAGTCCAATAATTAAGAAAACGCCTAATAATCTGTACTTATATTTTTCCCACAAATTCGCTATTATATAAAAATATAGATGTATAATTAACATATAAAGTATAAATTAAGTTAAAAATATAAACTGCTCTCACCCATACTTACGTGAAGGATTGAAGCCATATACTTGATCCAAGTACCGAGTTGCCATACCACTACCAATTGGAGTTTGAGCTTTATTCTTAACCATAGTATTAATATTATTAACAACGGTCACAACACTTAAATCATTTTCATCATTAGTTTCTTTAATACCAATAGAAATTAAATACTGCTTTTCATTTACAGTAAGATCTAATTGAGTTTTTTCATTACTAGTGAGACGTGGACGAGGTACGGGAACAGCATTAGATAAATCGTTTAATAAAGTATTAAAGAAATTGGTTTGTTGTTCCTGAGATAAACTATCAAAATAACTTGTACCCTCAGGGGACAAACGTAATAAACCAGTCGTCGAAGGAGCAAAAGGATCTTTTTTTGGTTCTATATTAAAATTCCAAACATTATCTCTTATACCTAATAAAGGTTCTTTATATGACTTATCTACAACGAAACCATTGTCCATCTTAATAAAATAATTTCCATTAGATACACTAAAAGTACTTCCTAATATGTTTGCATTAACGGTTTTACCACCATTTTCCAATTTACATGATGATTGAGAAATGCTTTGACGTAAATAAGGTTTATTATCAATTAATTGATAAATAGACAATAAACCATTAGATAATTCTACTGGATCATAAAAATTAATTGTAATATTTTGTATATTCGGATTTATAGTAGTTTTAATTGCAGGAACAGTTGATTCTACATTTAAATTAAAATATCCATTATCTCTATTTCCATCAAATTTTGGTAAATCAATTACTTGGAATTGCCAAGAATTAGAATTTTCAACTTGAGAAACTAAAAGAGTATTATTTGGTAATATTTGATATACACCTTTTATGCCTATAGGTTGAGGTTCAGGAAATTCCCAATTAATAGGATCAGTATTATCTTCATCAAATAAATATCCATACATAGATGGACCAGTAGGAGCAGTAACAGTATTTGTTAAAAGGTAACCACCAAAAGCTAAACTATTTACTGCCCAGACCACATTTACATTTTCGACAGGAAGTATTCTATTGATAACGCGAAAAGATGTAACAGAACCAGAAGATAAGAAATTAATTTTAATATAAAAAGTATTAGGTGGTAAATTTCCGGTAGGATTCGATTGTAAAGCAGTTAAAGTACAAACTTGACCAACTCCAGAAAATGCGATATCACAAATTAAGGAAACAAAAACTAAATTTGGAACAGGAGTTTGATAAAGTAATAAAGGATTACCAGGATTTTGACCATATGCAATAGGTAAAATGAATAATTGACCTTGCGGTAATAATGGATTAGTTGCATTAAAAGCTGTTGTAGTATTTGCAAAAGCAATGGCGTAACCTTCATCAACTGTACGTATAGCTATAGCTGATATAATTCCTTCACCTTCATTAGCAAGTTCTCCAAAAGTTAACTTTGTAATTGATCCATCAGGTTCAACTCTAAATTGTTGCCATTCTATATTATTATTTTGACCTGTACCATATCTCATAAATCCTTTTTCTCTATTAATATTAAGTACAAATTGATCATTTGGTATAATTATTTGCAAAGTATTGTTAACAAATGGTAATCCGATATTTGTTCGACTTAATACATTACCATCATAATCAATTACCATTCCCCATTCAACATATGTAGAAGGATTATTAATATCCGTTGCATCATAATAAGCAATGAAAATTTGATTCTTTCTAATTAAAACATATTTCATATATTCTAACCATATGCCACCGCTAACCATTTGAAAAGCACAATAATTAAGTGGTTGAATATCTAATTTTAAATCTTTTTCCACCACTGTTCCGTCAGTATTAATAATTCTTAATGAAAGCATTTCATGAAAACAAAGATAATTATTAATTGATGTTGTTACATTTTTTCTAACTATTCTTACTACCATTGTACCATCATCATATGATTTTGAATCCCATATACGAGGTAATGTTTGTCCATAATCAATTTGTTCATTATGTGAAAGAACTCTTATATCTGCTGTTGTATATAATGTATATGAACATAAGATAATCGCAAAAATTAATAAAAAATTCCCTAGTAATATTCGCATTTTTATAAAAGAAATGAAAAGAAAAAAAAAATAAAAGGAAAATAAAAAGAATTTTTTATTTTTTTAAATTTTATTTTCTTTTATATACTGTATTATATTTTGTGCGCAATTCACTTATATTTATAGTATTAAATCTGTATAAATAAGTAATCGTTAGATGCAGGAGAATTTTAAATGTATAGGTACCATATATATTTTTTTTTGATGTAAGTAAAAAACTGGTAAAAATCGACAAAAAATGGCGCATTTTCATTTGTACAACAAAGTATTATTAGTGGATTTTATCCATTCAAAGAAAAGAAGAACGGATATTAACTCATTTATAACATGCAGATTGCTTTCTAACAAAATATATATTATATATACGTGCATAGNCTTTTTTTTTTTTTTTTAATATACATATATATATATATTTACTAATTTTAATTTGTATCAGGCGTTCGATTAGTTATTTATAAACACTATCACTAAACGGCTGTGACCTGTAAACCCTGTGTCCCTGTTATAAAAAATATAAAAAAGGCGATTGCGGGGGGCTTTTTAATTATATTACTTTATATGTTAGTGTTCAACAATTAAAGGATCGTCAGATCGATTAATATATTGTATACAGTTGTTTGAACTGAAAAAAAAATAGTATTTATTTAAATCTTTAAAAAGATATTAATTATTCGGAAATGACGTAAGATAATAAAGTATTTTCGTCTCTTCGGATAACAATTGTTTCCAAATGTAGATTTCTTTTTCAATAATACTAATTAAAGAAAGTTTTTATTTCTTTTTTAATCAACAGAACCTATTGGTCACACCAATGCATTAATTAGGATAATTAAAGTGTGACGGTTAATGTGGTGAAATATTTGTGCATGATAGAGTTCCGAATTTCAGTGGCGCAGCTCAAAAAAATTCCAAAATACTATCTCATTTAAAGGTTCATAGCCGAAAATTTTTTTCTAATTTTAGACGCGATATAATATAAAATAAATTGAAACATTTGTAGTTTTATAGAACTAATCCAAATAAAGAAACATGAAAAATCTTTTCTTCAATTTTGATTTTTGAAACAGAAGTACAATCTTGAAACAAATTTATTCATCTTGTTCGTTCATTGGTTAATTTTTTAATTGCACGTGATGATCTTTATTATAATTTTGGGCCGATTGTTTAGCCGGTAAAAATGTAAATAAAATAATAATAAATATCAAAACTTGTTTGTCATCTTGAAAAAGATCATTAGGCTGGAATAGGGTGTTATAATTAAATAAATTGGTTTGGTTAAATTAAAATCTGTAAGTTTAAACAATTTTAGCAATTAAAGAAATAAATGATTCAATATTTAGATGTAAATGGAACTACTATACATAGTGAATTACGCGTTTTCAAATTTAAATAATTAATATGATTATCCACTAAAGCGCACGTCATGCCAAAATTACAGTAATTTACTTATTTACTTGCTTAATATGTCAAATTCATTGACCTAAAATATGACAGATGTTATTCATATATAAATTGCAAGTAAATGAAATTTATTGATTACTAAAACACTATTAAAAAAATCGTTAATCTAATTTAATCATTTTTTTTTAACTAAATTATTTATATCATAAACTGATTTTTTAAACGTTATTTAATTAATTTATTTTATTTACACTAGTCTAATCTTTTCTTTTAAATATAAATATATATGTAAATTACTAATATATACCTTTAACCATAATGTTGGCCAGGAACAGCATAATGTAGGCCAAAATTTTCATAATTCTTACCAGGGATGCTTTATTTTTGGGGTGTTTGATATTATAAGTATACAGTACATTATATTATCTTATTACATTCCTTCCTCAAAAATTATTGAACTTATCTAATTCCCATAAAAATACCTTAATAACTGAAATTAATTACCAGTATAAACATATATCTATTAAGGACTTTATTAATATTAAACAAAACTGCAATAATTTCAGAAAAGGCAAAATAATAATAGTTTATAATTAAAGGAAAATATTATTTTTATTTTTATTTAATATTTGATTTAGAATTGATTGATAATAGAATACAATACATACCTACTGAGTCACTTAGATCATTTAACAATGCACATGTGGGTTCAATTGAAGTTGAATGATGAGTAGTTTATAAATTAATTATATTAGAATAGTTTTTTAGTGTAGTATTTATATATATATTTCACTATTTACTAATAGTTCTAATAATTTATAAATGCATTGTAGTTAAAAAAAAAGAATTAATTAATACAGAATAAAAGTCAAAAATCCTTTGTATTTATATATTTTGATAATATACCAATTAATTTACTTATAAATTATTTTAAAAGTTCCTTCAAATTATTTTACTATGTAATTATATATAATTATTATATTAGTTATATAAAATCATACTATTATTATTGTAAAAATATATAAAAAATAATAATGAAACTGTAAAATTTATTAAAGAATTAATTTATAGTTTATATAATTTGCAAATATATTTGATGTTTAAAAATATCAATGATTTAAAGTAATAATATTTATTATATAATATTTTAAAAACTCTTTCTAATAATATTCATATCCATTTTTTTTTGAAAAAAAATTTTTTTATTTTTTTATTTTTTTACTTTCACTTTAATAAAAACTTTTATTTTATATACTTTAAACTTTATCTTAACAGTAAAAACTCCTTTTGTAATTTATTTAGTATAATTTTTATTTTTCTTTTTATATTTTTTTTTCATGTTTTTCTTTTTTATTTTTATAGAATTTCTAGATTTAAAGCAGTTTAAAGAGACATATTGTCTAAAATAAACAAGACTAAAAATAACAACAAGATGTGAATATACTTAAATGAATACTAATAAGTAAAATAAAGACCTTATGATATGAAAAGAGTTTACTTTGATAAAGCCACACCAATTTGATTTTTTATTTAACATAACCCCTCCCTCTGTTTTTGGATTTTTTATGTAAAAAAAATATATACAATTTAGGCCAGAATTAAACAAATCTTTAAGTCTTGATCAGAATTATTATTCAAAATTTTTGCTCATTCTTTTGGTCAAAATTTTGGCCAAAATTAATAGTAATTCTGGCCATGTATTTTATTTTATGTATTATTTTTTATTTCACCTCCTTCTTATATTAAGATCCCCTATATTATATTAAACTTTAAAATGGCCTACTAAGTCAAGTATAAATAAAGACTTCATCAACTTTATCAACTTTTTATATAATAATTTACTTTACACTAATGGATTTTCTTTTTTTAAAATACTTAATAAAACTATCAAGAAACATGCATAAAAAAACTCCTTAACTTATGAAATACCTTTTAAAGCTTACCTCTAAAATACTTTTATTAGTCTACTAGAACATTTTAAGTGTAAACTTTCAATATCTTCTTTTTCAAAACTGGTAAATGTTTTATCACCATTTTTTCTGATTAAGTAATAACAAAAACTACCAATCAGTAAACCTTTTAATAGTTTTTGATTAGATTATATTTAAAACTGAATGCATTCTTAAAAAAATTTCAGGATCTTTCAGAATCATAACAAATTTTAATAAATATAAAAATTAATTTTCCTTTTAATTTAATTTTAGAATAAATGACTAATTTTGGAATTTTAACAGATTTAATGATGTTATTTTTGGCTAAATATTTATCTAAAACCATAAAACTAATTTTAGATTTATCTTTAAATAGACTTTAAATTTATAATTTAGCCTTATCTTTGATTACTTTTACACTCCAAGAATAAAAAAAGATTGTGACAAATATTACAACTAGACTAATATTTTAAATACATTATATTTATAGAGTTATCAATTAGAATTTCTATTTAATTTTGCTTTATATTATGGATAGAATATATAGTTAGTTTAATGGATATTATTATGTTAAAATTGAACTTCCAGTAAGAGGTTATATCGCTAGTCGAAAAAGAAATATTTGGCCTTAATACAATTCGGCTTATATTCGACCAAAATTAAAAAATTTGACCTCAATTAGTAATGATCTATGATTAAACATACATTCAATCTTGTTGAATTATGTTAATTAAACATTACGCATTACGCATTATGTGTATTAAAAGTTTAAAAAAGAATCATCTTATTGCATTTTTTTTTAAACTTTTTAATTTTCTTTCTTTCCCTTTCCCTTCCTTCCCTTTGTTTCTCTTTTCCTTTGTTTCTCTTTTCCTTTGTTCCTCTTTTTCTTTCTTCATTCTCCTTTTCCTTCCTTCTCTTTTCCTTTCTTTCACTTCTCTTTGTGCTTTTACTTTTCTTATCCTTTACCTTTTCTCCTTTCCTTTCATTCCTCAGATTTTTTTCTTTTGTAGGTCCAAGATGCAGTTGTCTTTGATCTGTGTTCCAGTATACGAATTAAATGTTTTTTATTTCGTAATTCAAAAAAAAATAGAGTCCTTATTCTAACTGTTTCTAGAAAATGTAAAAATATTTAGACGAATTCCATTTAGAAGGCTCAGATGGGTTTCTAAAGAACGAAAAAACTAAAGATTCATAAATACGAATCTTTTGGATTTTTTTATTTTTTTTAATATTATGAACAGTACTAACCATTTTTTTTCTTTTTTTTATTAGATTCGGTAGGCTTTTGTATTCTGAAGAATGAAAAAACTAGGATTCGTTTACGAATCTTCAAACTTTTTACTCTTTCACCTTCTAAATAATAAAAAAATGTTTCTGCATAGACGTATATTGCAAAAATTTGCAACAAATTCTACTAAATCACTTCATTTGAATCTTGGTTTTATTTTTTTGATTTTTTTTAAAATATTAATAAACGGTTACTAATAACCGTTCTTTTATTTTTTATAGATTTAAATGGGCTTCCGTATTTTAAAAAACAGAAAAAACTAAGATTCATAAGTAAGTACAAATCTTGGTTTTATTTTTTTGATTTTTTTTTTAAATATTAATGAACAGTTATTAATAACTGTTTTTTTTTGTTTTGGGTGGGCTTTCATATTCTAAAGAATGGGAAAACTAAGATTCGTTTATAAATCTTAGATTTTTTTTATTTTTTTTTTAAAAAATATTATGAACGATTACTAATAACCATTTTTGTTCTTTTTTTTAGGATCGAGTGGACTTTCATGTTCTGAAGAACAAAAAAAACCAAGATTCATAAGTAAATACGAATCTTAGTTTTATTTTTTTAATTTTTTTTTGAATATTAATGAATGGTTACTAATAACCGTTCTTTTTCTTTTTTTTTAGAATTGGGTGGATTTCTGTATTTTAAAGAACAAAAAAACTAAGATTTGTTTACGAATTAAACGAATCTTGAATTTTTTTTATTTTTTTTTAAAAAATATTACAAACGGTTACTAATAACCATTCTTCATTTTTTTTTTTAAGATCGGGTGAGCTTTCATATTCTGAAAAATGGGAAAACCTAAGATTCATTTACGAATCTTAGATTTTTTTTATTTTTTTTTAAAAAAATATTATGAACGATTACTAATAACCGTTTTTGTTCTTTTTTTTTAGGATCGAGTGGACTTTCATGTTCTGAAGAATGAAAAAAACTAAGATTCGTAAGTAAATGCGAATCTTGGTTTTATTTTTTTAATTTTTTTTGAATATTATTAATGAATGGTTACTAATAACCATTCTTTTTCTTTTTTTTTAGGATTGGGTGGGTTTCTGTATTTTGAAGAACAAAAAAACTAAGATTCGTTTACAAATCAAACGAATCTTGAATTTTTTTATTTTTTTTTAAAAAATATTACGAACGGTTACTAATAACCGTTTTTTGTTTTTTTCTAGCTTTTTTTTAGGATCGAATAAGCTTCCGTATTTTGAAGAACAGAAAAAACTAAGATTCATAAGTAAGTACAAATCTTGGTTTTATTTTTTTAGCTTTTTTTTTAAATATTAATGAACGGTTACTAATAACCGTTCTTTTTTTTTTTTTAGGATCAGGTAGGCTAGAACCCTGAGCTATATATATAGAGGTAATAAGGTATGCAAGTATAATGTTGAAAAAGTATTATACTATAATATTGCATATTAATTACAGATATTATGCAAATGTAGTACTATGTAAATTTATAAAATTTTTTGTGAAGTTTGTAAAATTTAAAATATAAATTTGTATATTAAGGTTATTTTGAAATTTAATGATTGGATTTTTGTAATTTTGGATTCATCAGATTCATCTTACTGAGAGAATTTGGATAGTTTATCAGAATGATATTGGCAGAATTATGATATTTTTAAGATTTCTAAGTTTTATTTGTACAAATTGTAAAATTTATAAAATTCATACAGGTGATTTCATATTTTTGAAAAAATATGAAGTATTGAAATTTGTTTATTATAATTATAAATACATTTAATTTATATTATATTAACCTACAAAATTTTAGCAGGCTGGATAATTTTGATCACCCTCTGTAATTTAATCAATTAATTTATTAAAAGTTTATATCCAGTGCAAGTATTTGCGATCAATCATTTTTGCTACTTCCCACCCCTCTTCAAACACTTAACCAACAGTCACGTGCATTGTATGCAAGTATAGATTTACATCAAACAACCTATTCATAGTTAAACTAATTTTTTTGAGCAAAAATAGTAACAACAATTTATTAATAAATTCGTTATAGATTGTCCTATAATTAGGAAATTATTTCTTTGGCAAAAATAGATAAAAATACAGATACAAAATATTGTGCAACATTTCATTAAACAGAACAATAAATGAAATTTTTTTTTTTTTATAAAATTTGAAACAACATTCAACGTTTCGACTCCCTCAAATTATAGGGTTAAAGGAATTAGAATTTTTATTTTTTTTATTAAAAAATTAATCGTCTAAAATATCAAATATGTATTTTTTAAAAAAATGTTCATTTTATGAATTATGACATTTTATATTATAAAAATTAATAAAACATAATTTAACAATTTTATGAAATTTTTTGGAGGGGTTATTAAAGTAGACTAAATGTCTGATTGTTTTCAACCATTATTATAATTAAAATGAGTTAACATTTGAACCAGAATAGAAGCCACCATTACTATAAATATTGAATTGTGTGTTAGTTGGAGCACGCTTATAATTTTGATTCTGGCAGTAAGTACGCTTGGATAATTTAGCGGATTTAAGCAATAGGATACCACTCTTGTCGCAGTTAAGATTGAAGTTATCGAATTTTTGTGAGAAAGGTTTGGTACCACCATCAGAGAATACTGCATCCAAAGAACCTAGTTTTTCAATAATTTTACCACAATCATCGGCGATTGCGAAAGTGTAATTATTCTGTTGTGGATCATCGAGACCTTTACTGAAAAATCCAGTAATCGTAGTTGAACCACATTCATCTTGTGCCAAGACTATGTAACCCGTAGCTTTACCTTCGAAAGTTGCTGAGGCGAGAGCGCAAGGACATTTCTTGACATTAGTTCGTTTACCCAAAATATCTCTCTTATATTGTTGTGGACAAACGTTAGTTCGTTTATTAAAAAAAGGTTCAGCTGATGAAACAGCAATGAAAAAAAGGAGTGTAACAGCCAAAAAGGTTAAAGATGTAAATTTTTTCATATTATATATTTAAAGAATTTCTAGTAGTTTTTATTTTATTCCTTAAGATTTTGTTATTAAAAAAATTATTTTTTTTTTTTTGTAAGATATCGAATAATTTCGACAAGAAGAAAAATGAATATTTGGGGATTTGAGTACTCCTTTTATATTTCTTTTTTTATATAACAAGAAAACTTAACCATTTATATATCTGCATATTATCATGTACTTAATTTGCTATATTCTTACGGAAATTGCATAGCCGACCATACTAGTTTTGTGACACTTGCGTAACTATAAACAAGAAGCAAGTAACCATTGTCATTATAATATTTAAAAATTATAATATAAAACAACCTCTTTATTATCACAATTATGTAACACAATTGGAGAAAGAGTAAAAGTAAGCGTTTAATAGAAGGTCCTGCATGTTTCACATTAAAGAGTATATATATTATTCCGAGGAGATTTAGGATAACCGGACCGGGTAAGGGATATTTTAACGGTTTGTTATATTTAATTATTCGGATTAATTTTTTTTTTATCTTTTACAAGTTTAGAAATAATAATTTTTATTAAATTAGGGGTTAAGCAAATCCTATCAGTCTTGGAATGATTTACCTGCAAATAATAAATTTTTTGTAAGGGGAAAAGACCGAAACTTGAAATCTATTGAAGAAAAAGAAAAATTTTAATGCATCAAATAATTTAAACTGCATTATTTTGACGGGTTGACCATATTTCATTATATGGTTTGATACGCGAAAATAAAAAATATTTTTTTGCATAATTGTTATTTTTAATCAAAAAGAAAGGTGGCTTGGACTTTTTTTTTATTTATTTTATTTTCCGTGACAATTAAAAATTTATTATTATTATTATTGGATACTATATTAAATATATTATATTTAAGTTACATATTTGTTAAATTTAATGAATTTTTCTTTTCTGGAAAATTCGAACATTTTTGTTCTAAATGAACACTTAAACTTTTTGAGAAAGGGAAAAACTTTAATAAAATAATAATTGTAATAATAATAAATTTCTTTTTTTAGATACATTATAAAAGTAATAGGTGCACCAGGTTTACTGAAATAACAGATAAAGACAGATCTTCAAATTAAGTACAAATAATCTAAGCCCAAAATCATGATCGGGTAAAGTGATTCGAATTTGTGATGAAATTTTTTTTTATCACATTATCACATAAACATCACATAAACTATCGGAAAAATCAAATGAAAAAAAAAAATGCAATGTCAAATTCAAACACAGCCCAATCTCATTATTAATTCTTAAGGCTTTTTTAATACATAATAATTATAAAGTGGCTGAATTAACAAATTAGAATAACCGTGGATTATTAAATTATTTAAATCGAATGATATAATCATAAGCCATCCTAAGTCTCGCGGCATTAACTTTAAAAGGAAAAGAACAAAATTAAACAAATAAAAATTATGAATATTTTTGAACCGCGTTTTTTTATTTAATTATTACTTACAAGTATCTATTTAATTTGTGATAGGTAAGATCATTGAGATCATTTAGGGTCGAACGGACAGACGAACGGTGAACAATATTCATATTTTGGTGATATAATTCATAATATGTATTTTCTTTTTTTAATAATCACAATAATTTTAATATATATATCACATCTTATCATCATAGACTCATAGTAATATCCTTATTAGTTATTGTAGTGTTATTTGTAAAACGGGGGATTTCCGCCGAAAGCCCAAAACATAATAATTATGTATTACGAATTTCAATGAACATTTTCTTTTTTTAAAAATAATCATTTCTTTAAAATTCTTTATACTTAACAAAGAACATCATCATATTACCATATTACATGATTATTGTCACTCAAGAAAAAAATTAACAACAAATTTTAATGACTTCTTTGTGTAAGTGTAAGAAAAATAATTAGATATATTTCAATATACACACGTGACAACTTTAAAAAACGAATGTAACGTTTTAATCACCGATTCTTTGATTTACAGTTTTTATGTATGTACCGTAGATTTGTGTTTTTGCAGTTGTTGACGTAAAAAAAAAAAAATAAAATAAAAAATAAAAATAAAAATAAAAAATTTCGGAAGGCATTTTTGTTTTCGCGCTCGGACAAACATTTTATATATCATAGAACATGTGATAAATATATTTTCCTAATATGGTAATGCAAATTTTTGTATTTTTAGATAATAAAAGATGCATAGTTAATTAGATTACGTACTTGAAGAAAATATTTTTATCTTGGAACCCAACAAAACCCAACAAGAGTTAAACAGAAAATGGTGACACATGTATCACCACCCGATTATAATGATAAAGATAATGATTTTTTATTTATTTTTATTTTATTTTATTTTATTTTCTTTCTCAATCGGAATTCGTACTTAAAAAAAAAATAATTTTTAATTCCTTTTTTTAAAAAAAAGACGACTCTTTTCCTCTTATAGGATGAATTATAATGATTGACACTTCATTTCTATAGAAATATTTTTAGCCAAAGATTAATTGAAGAGTTACAAGGTGCATAAGTACATAACAAATTATTCATTCCTTTTTTTTTTAAAAAAAAAAAAAAAAAAAAAAAAAAAAAAAAAAAAAAAATGGGGGGAATTTTTTTTTTTTCTTTTAATATCAAAAATATCAAAAAATCAAACACAGGGAAAAAAATGGGTTAGTCCAGATCATAAAACGGGAAATTAAAAATTAATTAGAAAACGTCATGATTGGTATCAGCTGAGATTTAGAACTACTAAAAATTTATATACGTAATATGTATAATGAAAATCCAAACACTATTATAAATTTTATGACGTAAAAATCTCATAAACGGTATATGCTTTCCGAAGGATTTTCAATTAAGAAATTTTATGTTGAGTAGAAGTCCGTTAAACTATTAATATGAAATAAAAACAAATAAATAAAAAATAAAAAAATGATTATGATTTATTTTATAAATTCATTAAAAATAAATTTTGATCTTGCATGAAAGTTATCCTATAAGCTCGAAAACAGAAAATTTTTACAATGACGATTTTTTCTCATCTTTTTTTCCTTTTCCTAATAAATTCATCAATGACGTTATGTGTCGCGTAATGATAAACAGTATTACGCGATTATTTACATTCAAGGGTTAGATGGTATGCAAATATAAAGCGCCTTTTTACCAGTCAAATTTTACTTCCTTTCTTGATCTTCCTCGGATCAATTTTTTATGTATCCGAAGACACTTTCAGAATCATGAAAAAAAACTTCGAAAAACCATAAAACCCTATCCTGAAATGTTATTATTGAAAACAAATCCTGGTAATACAGATTTAAACTTTTTTTTCCGCAGTATCAAAGATTCGATTGGTTTTTTTTTTTGTTTTATTTTTTTTTGATTATTTTGATAAAGTTATCCGATTTTATATATATAAAAAAAAAGCGAATTCTTTTCTTAAAAAAGTTTTAAAATCTTTTCTTTTTCTTTTTCTTTTTTTTTTTTAAAAAAAAACCCTTTTATTTCTTTTTTTATAAACTTTTTTATATATATATAATATAATATATTATATATATATGTTTTTTTTTTATTTCACGTGTAATAGAGATAAAGAAACTTATTATTATTATAATGCATATATATTCGGTTTTATTTAAACATACGTAATTTTTATGGCTTCCAATTTACCACATTTATGTTTGAGAAAAATTTTTAAATTTCTCTCAAACGATAAAAATGATACTTATATTTTAAGAAGAAAGAATATACATTCTTGCGTTTTAACAAATCGGTATTGGTGTGAAATGGCAATACCATTCCTTTGGAAAGAACCTTTTACAGGTTCATTAAATTCTATAAAATCTATAATTCTCGTCAACGTATTAATAATCAACTTTTCCGAACAAGAATTAAAATCTTTAAATTTAAATTCGATCTTAAAAAAATACAACAAAACAACTTTCGATTATATTAAATTTATTCGAACTCTTATCGTAAATGCGGTTATCGAAGCAACGGCTTTTTGGTTACAAAATAATCCAAATATATCAAACGAATGTCCAATCGCAAATAATTTATTAAAAAAAATTATATTAAATGCTTCAAATCTTGAACATATTATTTCAAATTCAAATATAAACGTATTTAAATTTCCTATTTCAAAAAATTATTTCTCAAATTTAATTGAATTAACAGGATTTGATGAAGGAATATCTGGAATATATTCATCAATTTCTAAAGTAGCAGAAAATATTAAAATTTTAAGATTTTCATTAACGAATAATCATATTACGAATTCAAATACTGTAAATGATATTTCAAAAATTATTAAAAATCAAAAAAATCTTCAACATTTTTCTGTGGATAATAGATTAAATTGTTATTGTTGTTCACAAGAATATTCATCTTTAGATTTTACTTCTATTTTCTTTTCATTAACAACACAATCAAAATCTTTACGTTATATTGGTCTTTATGATATTAATTTTTTCTCCAATTTTCCTTTAAAACAATTAACTTTATTTGATAATTTAAATCATTTAGAAATTACAAGATGTTATAATTTTGGTATTGAATTAAATTTTAATCAATTTAATTCAAATATTTCTTTTAAAACATTAAATAGGATTACAATATATTATTCTGCTATACCTTCAAATATATTAAAATTTATTTTATCAAAATCTGGAAAATCTTTAAAAAAGATTAAATTTATTGGTAATGAAGTAATGGAAAATTTTCATGATTTAATTCAACATTGTATAATTTATAATTCAAATTTATCCCATTTTTTATCTTTTATACATTCTAATGAAATATTATTATTACCAAAATTTTTTAAATCTTGTCAATTTCTTAAACATTTTGAAATATGGGATATTAATTATTCATCAAATATTATTAATAATAATCAATTATTAGATAAATTGATTAATATTGATGATAATTTATTATTAAATATTAGTGAATCAATCCCATCTAATTTAAAAATATTTAATATTATTATGAATTGGTCATTTTCTACTATTTATTTTGATTATTTTCTTAAAAATTTAGAAAATTTTAATATTCATTTAGATTATTTAGGTTTTCCTTTTTGTTCAAATTTTACAAATGATCATTTAGAATTAATTATAAAAAATTTGAATTATCCTTTAAAATGTTTAAATATTCGTAATGCGAATAATATAAAATATGATAATGTTGAAAGATCATCTAAATTTGTGAAAAATTTAGTTGTACCAAATAACATAAGACGGTATGTATATTTTAATTTTTTCATAATTTTCATAATTGAAATTATTTTTTTTTATTGGGTAGGATTAAATTTAATTTATTTACATTATTTTAGGTTTGTCGAATATGATAAATACTTTTATGATATAATTAATCAAAATAGTTTTTAAGGTAAAATAAGATTTTTAGTTTTAGTTATGGTATGGTGCAATACATGGTATATTATTATAGTATTATAGTACATTTCTATATTTCTATCCGGGTTAATATAAATATAAATATATATATATAATATAGATTCATTCATTCGTTTTATTTTATTTTATTTCTTCGCTCGAATTAAAAATCGGCTATGATTATGAAAGATTATTTTATTAGAATTTTTATAGATTCATTATTTCGTATTTTAGAAAAAAAAAGAAAAAAAAAAAGAATATGGTTTTCACTCTTCTCATACGTCATTGGGGGAATTAAAGTTTCTTTTATCCAATAACAAAAATTTAAATGATTAATAATGCCTAAATAATGCCTATTTTTATAAAATCTCAAAAAAATCTCGAATTTCGATTGTAAATCTTTTTGATTGGTGTGTAAAAAATCTCGTGTTGACATAATTACCTTTCGTAATTATTACAAACTTTAATTACTTTTTTAATTATGTATAATCATTTAAAAAAAAAAAAAAAAAAAAAAATTTTTTTTTTTTTTTTTTTTTTTTTTAATAGGTTACAAATAGATTATAGTTATTACGATATTACGATGATTATTGCAAATTTTTTTTTTTTATAAAAAAAAAACAATAAAGGCATGCAACTTTATCATATTATCCATATTAACGATGATGATCATTAAAATTATTAAAAATGATTTGATTGGCTTAGTAATTTACAAATTTTTGCATCCTTTTAATTATCTTTGCGTCATTCTTAAAAACATTAATTTATTTAATAATTTATCTCATGAAATTGAAAAACTCCCTAAATCAATGAATCATGGTTTCCATCTTCTAAATCAAGTTACACTTTTCTCCCATGTGGTATGGCAGTATAAAATGTTTGAAACAAAATGATTTATTAATTATAAAACTTTTTTAAAAATTATTTATAATCTTATATATAAGAAATCTTTGTACTTTTTTTAGGAAGGTACGTTTTTTTTTCGATTCATTCAAAGGTGAAATCATTTAATAAATGATAAAATGATGTAAGTAGTAAGTACTATAAATTAATGTAAAATTACATACTCGTAAAGAAAGAAATATTAATTAAGTCACAGTGTTACAAGCCTACAACAGGTTAATGATACAAATGCAACTATTTAATTATAATGAAAAGATTTTTGAGTAAACAAACATAATCAATGAATCAAAATGTTGGGCTAATTATAAGGCCAATTATTTAATGCCAGTAATTTATTTATGTTTCCTTTCACAAAGATTTATTCGAAACTTTAAATAATAATTACAAATTAAGTCTCATTGAAAGGTAACCTAATGTTATACAATATATTTTTTGTTTTCATTACACAAAAAATGAAAATTCTTTTTTTTTTGTTGTATGAAATAACGATATTTGAAAATAAGGTTTTTTTTTTTCAAAAAAGAATTTTCCTAGTTGGGCTATTTAGATAAAAAAAGTAATAATAATAAGACTTTTCGACTTATCGACTTTCGGACTTTTCGATAAATTGGATCATAAGTAAAATTCGGAGTTGAGGTCTGAAATAATGCATGAATTTAATATACCGGTTGAGGTCAGCTAAAATAATATACCAGTTAAGGCCTGGAAAATCTGTTGTAAAATTATCGTTTGTACAGTAGGTCCGGCATATCGAATATCGAATTTCCCTATAATAATAATAATGTATTAATAAATTTATTACAAATTTGATATTTTCTCTCATTAATTGTATAATAAAATACTATATTAATTTTATTAATTTTGTAACGAATTATATATTTGATATTTTCTTATATTGAATTTTGTAACAAATTACAAATTTATTAAATTTATTAAAAATTATCATATTTTCTTTAAAAATATCACTATATAATAATTTCGTTAAAAGTTTCATATAATAATTTAATAATAATTAACAAAATTAAAAAAAGATTCTAATCATGGCTAGATTGGCTAGATTGCCTAGTTACTCCTAATCTCAATAATCGATGAATTAATCGCCGGAATTACGCGACCGATCAACAACAAAGGCATGTTTCTTTATAAAATATTATTAGTCAATGTTTCAACACAATAATTCTAATTACTATTAATAATTTACAATTATTATATAAACAACTCACAATAATTACCCAATGATTACAATGACACAATAACAACGACTAACTAGTCGGCAAATTACGACAAATTACTATAATTGCAATGACTATAAATCAAATTTTGAAACATATTAATTTCATTTAACTATGAAGCACTATGACTAAAATTTAAATTTTAATAAATTACAAAGTTGATATTATCATGTTATGTAATTATATCCTAATATATCTAATAAGCAAATTTTATTTTCTATTTTGGTCATTTAATTTATAAATACAATTATGGTAATTAATTTGATATCAAATGGTTGATGGGAATATGGGATTATTCTTTTTTTTCCTCAAATCACAATTCAAAAAAAAAAAAAAAAAAAAAAAAAAAGAAAAAAAAAAAAAAATTTCTATAATTAAAAAAATTTGGTGTTCAAGGGGGTGATTAAATGTAGTTACAGCCCATACAGCCTTACAGATTGTTACATGCCCCCTGCAGGAGAATTTATGTAGCACTGTAGCACCAAATGTTTTTGGATTATCGTTCTATTTTTTTTTCTTTTTTAAAAAAAAAAACTAAAAATATCAAAAAAGACGGGTACCTATATTGTTCCATGTAAAAGACCTTTTGCATACCAAGCTTTTAGAACAATGATATTTACATTTTGACATATTTCAAATCACTATGGACTTTATTTAGACATTATTTGTTACTAAAATTGATTCTAGGTACCAACTTATTTTTAAACCGAATATGCTTTTTGTTATATACATGAAACATTATATTGAAAGTACAACATAAATACGCATAAAGATCAAAAAAATCTACATAACATGACGACATGACGACATGACGTTCTATTAATTCTTTGGTTTATAATGTTTATATGATTTTTTTTTAAACCCAAGAAACTCAGGAGAACCCAAGGAGAAACCCAGGAGAAACCCAGGAATAAAAAATTTCAATCATCACCGTCTATTCTGACAGCGTATAATAATTCAGTTCATTAAATATTAATATTGAATGGCAAATAATCCTAAATAAGTTAATCATTATTTTTTAATAAATTTCTTTTTTTATTTGTATTATATACATTATTATTTGTATTATACACATGAAACGGGAAAAGTTTCTTCTTTAGCATTTATTAATATTTGATGGCTCATAGAAAATAAATTATATTTATATTTCACCGAATTTGAAAATCTGAAAATTCTTTGTATTATTGATTGACATAATCATTGATCATCATTTGATGCCAAATATAATTATCATCTATTATTAGTTATGTTTGTTTAAATTTGAAACGAACAATTCAAAATGAAATGAATGATTCAGTGAAATGAATGATTCGGTAATGATTCGGTGAAATTTGAATCAAATTTTTACCGTTGTTAAAAAGAGTGTGAATGCGTGATTATTGAGAAATCAAATTCGTTTTTCGAAAAAGCTCCTGCAAATCTGTTAAAACTTTGGACTTATATCACAAGTCTTGGCAAAATTGGTAAATCAATAATCAATTTACACAAAAGAATATTGAATAATTAAAAACAATAATATTATTCAAATCGTTCTTAACATGATTGTGAAAAATCATCATCGTTATTTTTAATAATTTAAATTAAAAAAAGCAAGTCAACCCTATTTTTAGCTTAAAAAGTGGATCGTCTGCAGATATTATATTAACAAAATATAATATAAAAGATGATATTATGGAATATCAATCTAAGGGTTTATTCAGAATTCACGCATGGAATCTAATCATCCAGAATAAAATAAATTTATTCGAGATATTCGCATTTTGGTGATGTTTATATTCGTGATTTAAACAAAAAGTATTTTGTGATATGTGATTTGACATATTTGAGTTTATGGTTTAAATATTTTATTTTTTTATCATCACATAATTCTCATCGAACATCATGCGCCAAGAAAAAAAACCAAGAGTGCATTTCGTCGTACACGTAAAAAAGCCTATCACGATTCCGAAAGTTTGCAAGGGATTGGATAGTAAAGCAACTACTATTAAACAATCATGCAATTTGGCGTGCTCAATATTAATGTTCTTTGTCGTGAAGTATAAGATTAAATCGTAACGGTAAATAACGGAAGAAATTTCGGGAGACTATTTCAACCTAAAAGACCAATCATTGAAAAAAAAATGTAGTAGCCGTAAAAGTGTAACAAAGAAAAAAAAATATTATTTTACCAACACCACAAGTCCGCAGTAACTGCGGCAAGCGTAGCAAACCGCAGTCGTTACGTCAAAGTTTACTATAATTATAAATGATTTATTTTTAGATTTTTTTGTCATGAAACTCCGGATCTTCGGACCTGATGTCTGGTAAAAAACTTGTTTTATATCTTTTGTTTTTATTATTTTGTTTACCATTTTTGTTATGTTCCTTGGGAAAAAAATATATTTTTTTTTTAGCCCGTTTTTTTTTTGTTATTCTTATTATCTGAATAAGAAATATGAATTTTTTTTTTTTTAAAGTTTATTGGGCTTTTGAGTTTATTGGGCTTTTGTTTATATAATATTGCATACAAAGTACGCAATTTTCTATCTTTATATAATCAATTTCCAAAATTTATACCGTGATTTCTAATGTTAAAAAATGTTTCCTTTTATTTTAACGAAAAAGCAAACAATTTTATAAAGATGATTGATTATCATTATCAAAGCATAATTTTCACGCGCCTATTACGCGCCCATTAAAAAATATGCGAGATAACAATGCATGTACTTTTTTTTGGATACCTTCTTTTTTTTTGAATTTCGATGATTGACTATTATGACTTCACATTTTGTGCCTTTATTACGTTTGACGAAAAAAAAAAAATAAATTTTTTTTTATTTCTTTTGTTATATATTCATTCATTCATTTAAAAAGATATAAATAAATATAATTTTAATTTATTATCCAAATCATTTTTGATAAATTTTCGATTTCCAATTATGACGTTGATGTGATTACAGGATAAATAGTTGGTCTCTAATAGTCAATAGTTATTTCTCAGGATATTTTTTACCATTGGAACATAAATCACCTACAAGAATAATTAGTAATTACATTCTGAAATTGTTAGAATAAGGTGTTATCAGCCAAAGATTCTAATCACTTACAAGAATAATTAGTAGTGATGGGATTCCCATGGAATTTGCAGGAATTTATCGGGATTTGTGCAAATTTTACATTAGTAATACTGTACAAATCTCATAAAATTCCGCGTAAATTATATTAATTGCATAAGTATACCTATACTATGCTTGATTAATGGTTGTTATTTCTTCTTTGTAGATGAATCGACATAACATACCGTGATGATATAGTGAAGAATGATATCAAACTAACGTTCAAAGTTGAATTTTAAGATTTTAAGCGCGAATATTCTGAATATTCTTTTGAATTTTGAACACTACTGGTCAGACCATATTTTTCGCAATGTCACTTCATATATTTTCGAATTGGGTATTAGTAGTAATGTGGTGGTAACGGGATACGCTACCAGTGTATTGTCCGTTGCATTCTACAATCCTTTATCGAAAATTATCCGTGGCGGGAAATATTGAATCTAACAATGAGTAGTTTACTAATTAGTTAAAATAGTAATTCAAACTAATAAATTAAAATATATAGTGATCCTGGCTTTATTATGGGGAATACAAGAACGCAAGTTATACGAACACTAGGAACATTATTTCTGTGAGTTGTGTTATATTATAGTTTAGTTTTTGTAAGAAGATACATGTAGATAAATAATTTTAATTCTTCGACCTCGTGACGGAATTGACCAAACATATATTCCTTGGATTGAAGTGGATTAATCGTAGATTTTATTCTTAGTAATTCACTAAATTTTAATAATGACTTGAATTAGAATTCATAATGCCTGCCCGAATTAATGTCCGCTTCTAAGCTATTAAATTATTTGAAATTTTCCATACAAGAAATAATTCTTAGTTAAAAAACGTCCATAGATTTTCAATGTATTGAGGAATAATTGGATAATTTAGAATAATTATTAGAGTAATTTCTTGGGAGTCACATATTTTTTTATACAATATATCAATCAACAAAATCAAAAAAAAAGATTAAAGAAAAAAAAACCAAAAAGTTCCCAAACTAAAAAATTCCCGAAACTGAAACTGGATCATTTGATATATTTGGGAATAAAAATAATAAGAATTTGATTGAAAAAAAAAAAAAAAATATTTACCAGAAATTATAATTTTTTCATCAAAATATTACGTAGGACCTCTATTTTAACGCCAAAAGAATTTTAATTATAAGAAATTATTATAAAATTAGTTACATCAATTTTGTCAGAATTACGTCCTAATATCATCTTAATATCATTACGTCAATGTGTACTATTTTGACAAAATACCATTGGATTTAGTATTTTTTATTGACAAAAAAACATTTTCTAAGTTTGAAAAAAAAATGTGCGATCGTTATTTTTGATCTAATTTTTTTCTGGTCCCGAATATAATATATAAAGTATACAGTGTAAGTATTATTATTATAATTAATAATTCTTATCTAATCTAACTTTCTTTTTTTGTAAAAAAAATATTATTTATTGTTTTTATTTATTATAATCCATATAATCTAATCCAATCATCAACCATATTCATTACAATTATAGGGAAAGTGGGGGAGTGAGAGTAGGAGTTGGGGAGGGAATATATATATATATATATATTTTTATATTTATACTCTAACATTACTAATCTTTATCTAATATTTACTAATTTTGCTTATTAATTAATTCATCACGGGTTTCATTATCACGCCAAAAGCTAAAAAATGAAATCCTTTACGTACCTTCTAAAAAGAAGAATTTTTGATATGATCCCAAATTTGGAAAAATTAATGTGAAAAATATTTCCTTTCAAACTCTGAAAAGTAATCAAATAAAAAAATGAATTTGGAAATGAAAGAAATTTTTATTAAAATAGTAATAATAATAATAATAATAATAATAATAATAATAATAATAATAATAAATAATAATATGAGAAGAGACAAGGCTTTTTACCAGAATTAAAAAATTTTTTCTACATATCCGGTGTTGAATATAATAAATTTGTCCGGTGATTACCATAACCTTATATATATATATATATATATTAGAACTTTTTTTAATTTTTTTTTTAAATAATATAAAATAAAAAAATATTCTTCTATCGACCACTCATTTTTTTTTTCATCCAATAACATTTCTCAACGATTAAAAAAAAATCCTTGTTATATAATATTGGACCGGGAATAATAAGAAAGAATCTATTGTTTGTTTGACTGAAAAAAAAAATTTAGATTTTTTTTTTTCATTTAACAATAGCTAATAGGCAAGTACTTAAAATATGTATTAGGACAAAAAAAGAGTTTTAAATAAAATTCCAAATTTATAATCATTCAAACAATAATTGAAAGTCACCCCTTCAAACTCGCTTTGAATAGGCGCAGGTATTTTTCGATCCAAAGACTATTTGAAAACTCCGTTTAAAATTAAAGTTTAAACCATTTTAAGTAATCTTGCGTAAATATTATATCATGTGATGATCATTATAGGCTACTTTTTTGTTTTTGGGAAATTATCAAAGGATCATTTTAATTGGACCTAATATACTAATTTAATTTTACCAAAAAAAGTAATGATTGGTATAAGATCTTTTGATGTCGCAGTAATCGGGTAATCGGAATTCATTGTAAAGTAATACACTCAAATAAATAAACAAACACATGATTTATTTGTTTACTTATTTACCCAAAGTCATGCATACACATAAAAAAAAATTCGTATAACAAAAACTTCACAAGCCACACTTTCTCTACGGATCACCATCTTCCGAAAAAAAAGGAATGTTCTATGAGATTCCATATTAGTTAACAAATACTTGCACATTTTTTTTCTTACTTTCATATGTTTCCACTTTACCATAATTATTCTCCAATTACACTTTTCGTTATCGGAATTTTGCCTCCTAAAAATTTTTTTTTTTAAAAAAAAAAAAAAAGTGTGCTACAAAGAGAAAAAAAGCAAATGATAAGTAATCACCGGACTTTTTTTGGTTTATAAATCCAATATTTATATACAAGATAACATAATTAATATATATATATATATATATATATATTTGAACACTCATAATAATGCTTATCTGAGAGCCACATCACACACGGAAAAAAAAAAAATCATCAAATCATTTAACTCATGTAAAGACATTGTTTATTCATCTGGACCTTACTCTTCTCATTCCGGTATTAATGATAAAAAAATAGGGGTTGGGGTTGTTGAATTGTAATGAACATGTTAGATTGATGATAAAAAAATCAAAAAAAATGTGCAAAATCTAATAATCCTAATGAAAAGAAAAAAAAAAAAAAAAGAAGTTCGAAAAGGAAAGAATTAATTAACTAAATAAACAAAATTGGTAATAATTTTCTCTTTTTCTTTTTTTTAAATAAAAAAAAATGGGGAACCTCTTAAAATTGTTCAAAATTCAAAAATGTTCAAAATTGTTCCAAATTGTTCAAAATATTTAACATAAAAAAAAGAAAATCGATTAAATTTGGGGGGGACATCTTAAAAATCTTAAAAATGAGAATGACAAAAAAAAACATTAATGAACTGGTGCGGACTGTGATGGAAAAAAAAAAAATAGTTTTTTCGTTTTTGTTAAAAAAAAGGAAGAGGAAATTACAAAAAAAAATATATAATTATTTTACAAAAAAAGAAGCTTATTGATATAAAAAGAAACCCAATCCTTTTAAATCTTCTTTCAAAATTTTTTTTCTTCAACCCTGTACTTTACACTCAGCTGCCTGGGGTTGTTGCAGGGTTTTTTCAAATTGGGCTACAACTTGTTGATTTTCGGCGGTTAAACCTTCAGAACCTGAAATGCTTTGAAAATGATTACGTAATAAATTCGACCAACTTTTGTACACGTCTTCTCCTATGAACAAATTATAATCTATAAGGGTAAGGAAACGCCTTTCAATTACATTTATTTCCCGAACGGGAAGACCGCATATTTTTGACCAAGCATTATTAGCATAATTTCGATCTTGAAGGTATTTCGAAGCTACGATAAGAGATGCAAGAAACATGCGACGTCCACAAGTAGCGGGATCACTACCACTATTATTATTATTATTTTCATCCTTAGAATTCAATGTCCAACGATCAGGATTAAGCCAAAGAAAAGTTATTTGTGGCTTTATTCTCATAAGATAAAATAAAGCTGTTTGAAGTGTAGACCAAGAAGTTCTTGATCTACGCAAAGTCTCTTGAATAAATAAACGAAGTGGAATAACCTGAGAGTTAAGATGTACAGGAAAATTAATCCAAATCACGTTAATAATTTGCACGGTCGTATCTAATAAAAAAAAAATTGAAATATTTAATAAATAAATGAAAATTATGTAAAAAAAAAAAAAAAAAAAAATACCAAAATAAAAATAAATTAACTAAATTAACCTCTTACCAACAAGATTTTCAACTAAGGCATTCTTACGATAATTTTTAACATCATAATTTTTGTTTTTATTCCCTGGAATAGGATTTTCACACGGTATGTCTTCTGAAGAAGATGATGATACTGATGATGGCTGATGAAGCACGTTTTCATGAGAGGAATGGTTGTTATCTGTGGCGTGGATAATCATACCATTTTTATCATTTTCCGGAATGTGAGTCACCATGCATGACATCCCATTTTGGACAGTCCCATTCCAAGCTATTACTATTGGGGAAGAAACTTTATTAGTTATGCAGCGAAATATTTCATTATTATTATTATTAAAAGGAGGAAGAAGGGGAAGAAAAAATATATGTATATATAATATAGAATAGTATACATTCAAAGGAAAAAAAGGTTTTTGAGGATTTAAATAAAAAATACCTTCAGTATGAGAAGCTATATTATGCGGCGGTAATACACTTAACATTGTGTTCTCTACAATTTATTATAATATGATAAAGAGTAAGGTTCAAATGAATAAACAATATAACATAAGAGAAATGGTCTCTGCTGTCAACGCAGAATAATGTTTTACTATTTTATGACTTTATTCAAGAGTTAAAAAAAAATATTTGTAAATGTTTTAAATTTACGAGAAAATATGATATTCAATAAAAAAAAAAGTAATTTTTCTGTTTGACCAAGTTCACATATATATACAAAAATTGGCATACGCAGCAAATAATACTGCGGTCTGCGTCTATGGCTGAAAAAATACTTTGCCGGATAATTCCGGATTAAGTTGAATTTAGTTGATCATGCAATTGTAATCAATATTATCGCATAGCCACCTACTTTATATTGTTTATCACGTGTTACATTTCTTTAATGATGACTCACATTTTTTTGAATTCCATCATTCGAGATATCTATTGATTGTGTGTATATACTGACTGGTTTTATCCCTAATATGGGAACTAAAGTAAAATTCAATCTTTTTGTGTATAAAATTCTCTTACAAAAATTAAATACATGGGAATAATGACTCACCTCATATTTTATTCATTTATTCTGAGTAAGGAAATACAATATTAATATTTTCCCCTCCCTCAAAGGCAAAAAAAAATCTAAAAATATACAATCTTTTTTACAAACAAAGGCAATTTTTTTTTTTTTTTATTTTTTTTTTTTTTAGGGTCAAAATAACACGGTAAAACCACAATGTATTGTAACGGAACCAAAACTTTTAGAATTCTCCAAGTCTCCGTTCCATGTATCAAAGAATAATAATAAAGAAATCTTTCAAAGGCAGGGGTTTAATTGTTATGCTTAAATAATCGGTTGCGAACCAAATAAATATAATTAATAAAAAAAAAAAAAAAAAGAAGTATTCCGGACAAGGAGAGAAATTCTATTGTGAAAATTTAAAAATAAATAAATCTGCGGTTGGAAAATCTTTATCTATTGGAAATTGATGATGCAATAAAACGTGATAATAGGGACCCCATATTTAATTAATCCAAACGTTATAATTTGTCCGTATATTTATTGCATATGGCTATTTTTTTGAGGCTTAATTTCAGCCCGAAAGGGATAATATTTTAGTACATGTTTGGGCTGTTTAGCCGCAGAAATATGTACAGATTATTACAGGGTAAACAGACAGACAATAACAATAATAAATAATTAAGACAATTTATTATAATAATAATAATATTAATAATAAAGAAAATAGAAAGATTAATAAGAAATTTTATCAAAGGGAAATGCGGGAAATGCGGCTTCATATATCACAATTAATCCATTTTAAATCATCATTTTATATTATATTTAATCAATCTTCGTAATTGTGCATAAAAATTTTTTATGATTAATTTTGATTAATTTTATCACGCAGTAGAAAAATCTTTTTGTATTAATAATAATTAATAATGAATAAAAAAATCAAACTGCGCTTTAAAAACGAAACTTATTGTAGTTAGCTGCGCTATATTTATCGGGATAATAAAAAAGTCATTCGATTAAGTCATATCATTTCGAAGAAAAGATTTTCCTAAAACAATTAAAATTTTCTTTATCAATGAGGCTTGCCGAGTATTGTACAATTGTTATATTTGATTAATCAATCATTTTTCTTTATTCTTTAAATATTGACTATAAAGGGAATAATTACAGGGAGTAAAATTCTAATATCGTGTTTCGATTTCGAAGGTTCGAATGTTCGAAAACTTTTTGTAATTTAGAACTTAAAAACGCCAAAAAAAAAAAAAACCGTATGTTTAGAGAAATAATTTCTCGCGCGATTTACAATTGCATCAGGTTAGATACCATTTTAAGAAACTTGTGATATTCTTAAGATGTGATTCGACAGATTTTTCTATCCTGATGTATATATTGATATTACGATATCTGTTTGTTCTGTTTGGTTCAACTAATAATAATGACTCACCCTTCAAATACTGCCATTTTTGGCACATTGCTTATTTTAGTAATAAAACTTGATTTTCATTATCTTGTGTAACATTGGACTTGGCCGCTTTTTATTTAACGCCAAGAAAATTATCAGTCTATAAAGAAATTCTATTTATATTATGATTTTACCAAAAAAAATTCATTTCATTTTTTTTTTTTTTTTTTTTTTTTTNAAAAAAAAAAAGAATAATTGGAGTTGAAATCAAAAATACAAACCAATCTTTCTCTTTCGATATTCTTTTTTTACAGCCAACATGGCTATATAACCACGCAAAGCGTCACGATGTCGATCCAGTTTACAGATTATAACTCCAATACATTTGTCTTGATCCATTGCCTTTTTTTTTTTTTTAAAAAAAAAAAAAAAAAATTTTTGGACAAAAAAAAAATTAATACAAAAAAATTTTGTTTTTTTTTTGTTATAATTAATTAATTAAACACACCATGAAACATAAATTAGGCCAATTGTTTATGAAATAACGATATGTGTATATTGAATAGGGTTCAGATAAATCATTTTCAATTAAACTCATAATTCCAGGAAGTTGTAATTCAGAAGAGTAAGGTACATAAGTTATATCTGGACTATCTTTTGTGAGTTGTTTAATGATAGAAGAAGTGGAAGCAGTTGTTTTTTGCTTATTTTTGACCTTATCCATAATTATAAATTTATGAAAGAAAAAAAAGAGAAAAAAGGGACAAAAAAAAGATAAAATAAAATAAGAAAGAAAAAAAGAGAGAGAGAGAAAGAAAAATCGAATTTTAATAAAAAAAAAAAAGGAAAAATGTCAATAATAATAATATCTCTCCTGAATATCGACTAGTCACTAGAAATAAAAAGGTCCTGAATATCGAAAAAGTTCAACTAGTCACTATAAAAAAAAGGAAAAATGTCGAAAAAAAAGTCAAAGTAATTATTATTAAATAAAATCAAAATTAATTAATTATTATTATTATTTTATATATTTCTAAATTATCCAATATTTCCAATATCTCCAATACCAAAATCCACCCAAATCTATTACCAATGAGTAATCAAATTTAATAATCTTTGATTTCCTTCATTCATCAATTCACTTCTTGAACTTGTAACATCCAAAATAAAATCATCTTTATAATTGATTCCACAATCTGGAGGATTTGTTAAAAAATAATCTGAATTAATAGCAATTAATTTATCTAAAATTCCATTAATTCCACGTCCATTAAATTCTTTTGTGTTCTCTCTAATATTATCATTCTTTAAAAGATTATTAAAAGATTTCATTGTAATCCAAGTATTAAATTTTATTGTGGAATTTAAAATTTCCATTGCTTTATGATAATCTTGATTTTTTCCAGAAGAAATCATTGGATAATCTGTGGTAAGATAAACATTCTCAATTCCTAAACTTGTCTTAACCCTTTTTAAAGTTTCTACCAACCTTTGAGCGCATTCAGGTAATTGAGATGATGTAGGTAAAGCATTTACCGTACGCCAATAAATTGATATAAAAGGTTGTAAATCATTAACTATTCTATCAGCTTCTTGTAATATACGTTTAGAATATTCTATTTTAGGAAGATTATTTGAAAAGAAAGGTTTTCTTATTTCATGATTTAATAAAATGATTTCTTCATCAATTTCTTTTAAATTATCTATTAAAAATTTTGAAAATTGAGATCTAGTTTCATCTAATATCCAAAATCCTTTACCAGTACGAATTTTTTTAAATATACTATCATTATTAAATTTCATATTAAATTGATTTAAACAATTCTTCCTTTGAATTAATTCTATATTTGAAGATTTTTGATTTACTATATTTATAGTAGAATTTGTTCCACCTCTTGCAATATAAATATGTTGAGTGGTTGGTTTTTCATGTCTTAATTTTGTCCATTTTTTAAAATTTTCTTGTGTAATAAAAGAAACGTGAGGATATTCTTTTAAAAGTGAATCAATAGAATAATAAAAATTAAAAGGAAATTTTCTACATGATGAAATTCTTGAATTACCAACATTTGTTAATACCATTGTACGATTTAATTTTTCTGCTAATTGAATAAAATTTCTCATATGTTGATTGGCCAAATTTTCTTCATCAGGTTGATTATAAACGAATAAGAATTTACATTTATCATTTCCACAATATCTTTGATTAATCTCTTCATCACTCATTAATAATACATTATTATCCACATTTGTTTGATTATCTGAATGAATTACTGTCGTAATATTTCCATCGTCATCAATTTCAATAGTTATGGAAGGATCGTCATATGAAACCTTAATTCCAAAAATGATTTTAAAGTTAATTAAGTTAAATAAATTAAATGATAAAAAGATAAGGTTTTTTTTTTCTGTATTTAAATAAAAAACTTTATCAACTTACAGTTTTATTGGTCTGTTTTTTAGGATTAATGATTCCTTTCGCTGTATCATCATCATAAAAAATATATCCTACCACGATTAATAATACGAAGAAATATATGACACTTCTTTTCAAACATTGATGAGCCACGAAATAAGGTTGAGGAAAGGTTTCTTTTGAATTCATTATTGATTCCTATATATATATATATATATATAATGTATATTCTTGATTTCTTGTTCTTATTTCCTTAAATTTACTTATGTTTCTTATTATCTTATCCTTATTTTTCTTGTTTTTTAGAAACTTTACGAACGAGATATATGTTACTATATAATACCAGTTTTTTTTTTTATATATGTAGTAAATATTATTTACAGGTTATTATTATTTACAAACAAAAAATTTTTTGTGTATATCGTCCGTTTTGCTGTTTACAAAGACATTTAATAATTGTTATAATTATACGTAATAATAAAAGAAGCAGTCCACTCTAATCCTCTTCAAAGAAATATAACAAACAATATTTCACTTTTTTTTTTTTTAAAAAAAAAAAAAANAAAAAAAAAAAAAGAGGAATATTAAGATAGAGAAGAAAGAAAAAAAAAAGGGGGTGAGAGATTGCTTAAAAATCTAAAATAGATCTTAATAAACTTCGTATTTATATATATCGAATGTTTAAGAAAAAAAAAAAATTTTAATAATATCTTACTGGGGATTAAATATTTTGGTTGTATATATGCATAATAAAAATGCGTACCTTGCAGATTGAACCAATTAATACTTTTAACACCGAATGTCCGTAATGAATCTTAGTATGGGAAATTAGCCTATACATGATCAATTTTTTTAATTTGTGTAAAAATACAAATATGCACATGAGAAAAAACAAATGTCAAATTTTATTTATTCCTATACAAAAAAGGTGATGAAATCATGCAATAATCTAATAAACTAGTTCGTTTATGATTTTCTTTGATATCCTTTTCATATAATTTTTTTTTTTTTTAACGATAAACTTATTTGATCTCATTTCCCCGAGATGCATGCTATTTTAATTGGTTTATATAACCAGTTTAATGGTTCCGTGCGTTTTTGCATAAAAACGCGATTTTTTTAATTTTTAATAAATTTTAAAGTTCATTTAATGTTTTTTTCTTTTATTTATTCGAGTAAAAGATTTTTAATTCCTAAGATTTTTTAATTTGAATTTTATTCGCTAATAAAGGAACAATCCGAAAAAAAGATCGGGTTAACCGATTAAGATGGTTAGCATGTACACATGTACTGTACATTCGTAAATTATGAAAATCTTACTACATAAAAGATCGTAACGAATAGGGTTTTACGGCTTTTGTAAAAGTTATTTAATATTGTTGATTTTTTTTTACGTTTTTTTTTCATGGGTTAAGTACAGTTGAGCACAAACAAATTCTCTCATCCCCTCCCTCATATTAAATCCTATTACGTTTAGTATAGAAATATCACAAAAAAGTTTTTTTTTTCTTTTTTTATTTGCTGCGGTAATTTTTATTATCTTATTGTTTCACAGGTGCAACGCAATGTGGCAAACAAATAATTTGTTCTCTTGATCTGTTAATCATTATTAATCACCATACATAATTTGTTATAATTTATTATTTCAACGACAAATTTAGACTTTACCAGTACCAATTGTTCATTTAATATCGTTAGACCACTTATAAATCATTATACTATGTGCAATGAGTAAATTACCTCATTATCTTACATACTCATAATGAAATGGTAGAGTTGGGTTACAGTATTCAACGTATTCAACGTATTCAACTTAGTAGATGCATTTGAGTTGGACGTATTCAACTTAGATGCATTTGAATAAGAAAATTTTTTTTTCTGTTAAATAAAATTGATCTTTTTATTATTTTAATCCTGTGTCTAAACGTTGACATTCTGATATAATAAAAGGATCTTATATATCTTATATCATTTCTAGGATTGAGAGATGTTATAAATAAAATAAATCTATAAAAAATAATTAAAAAAACAAATTTATTTTTCAAAAAAATAAATTTGTTCGACCCTCAGGATCTCCTTTATTAATAATTCGATCAAAATATGCCACATACAAAGCGGGAAGAATAGGTGGAAATGGAGAATCAGGACGAATCACAACATTTCTAATAAAATAAAATATAATGTTAAACATAATACATACAAATTATTTTGTTACTGCTCAACATATTACATACAGCACGTATAATATATGTAAATCTTACCTCATCTGTCTTCCTTGAGATGGTTTAGTAACAATACCATATGTCTCAATTCTGTCCGGATCAAGCCATTGCATTCCCCATTCACTAGATCCTTTAACGTAAGCAATATTAACCCATTTTTCTTGATTTGGACATTTACGATAAATTTCACCAAAATATTTATAATTCCATTTTATTTCATAATCACATTTTAAAATTTTTTCTTGATCATCATCTTTAATAAATCTTGTTTTTCTACCTCCGTCATTTTTATCCTTATTTTTACTATCATCACCAATTGATGTAAAAGAAATATGAACCTTTGGTGGCCAAATAACAAACCATAATCCTCTCATATGTGATTTTGTTGTTAATACAGTATAATTCTTATGAGGATTATGTCTTTCTTCTCTAACTTCATAATAAGCAGGATTCCATGCTTTATGATTTCTAGCTATAATTTCCGCTATTTTCAATCGATCTTGTGATGTTGAATCTTCAGTAGAATTTGTGAATAAATTTGAGAAAGTTGGATCATTTGGTGGTGAAGTTTCGATCACATAATCAAATTTATTATATCCTATCCAATTATCACTTTTTAATCCTAAATTATATTCATACGGAATATTTGGTATTCCCTTTGTTAAGATTTCCTCATTCGATTCAATAAAATAAAAACTTATATTAATTAACAACAATAATGTTGCTAAAATTATAAATCCAAAACCTAAATAACTAATATAACTACGACGGTTGTTTTGATTATTAATATTATTTAAATTGTGATAAGCACCTCGAAGTAATGGTATTCTTTCAACATCTTCTTCTCGAGACATAATAAATGAACTTAAAATAATATATTTATATAGTTAATATATGTATATTTATTATTATTTACGTAAAAGAAAGTTTTTAAAGTTTCGTTTTATTTGTTTTTTTTTTTCTTTTTGTAGAACAGATATAAGAAGAGTTTACTAAAAAAAAATTAACCCGTAAAAAAAATATTATATAGTTATTGATTGTTGACTGAGAAGTCATGGGATTAGGTAACTACTTTTGTCTGACATTACGTATATAAACTTGCGCCTTTTTATCTATACCATATTTAGTTAACACGGATTTTATGTATAGATATAGTAAAAGATAATATGATTTTATGATAAGTTTGATAAAAAATTTTCTATCAATTTTATCAATTTCCAAAAATATTTTTTTTTTATCAGGTTGTCATCAAAATATAACATCAGGTATCTTCGTATCATAAAAAAAAAACTCTGCCCCTTTTTTTTCTATTTTTTAACTAGATTTTATTATTATTATTTGATGAAAAAATCGATTTTTTTTCACTCGTTTATAGTGTAATTGTGTAAAGAATCTTTTGTTTAAAGAAAGGGGTACATTTTTTGTTTGAAAGATATAATTAACATAATTTCTTCACAATTCTGATTATTATGAATTAATATCACTTGATACTGAGCACGTTACGAGTTTATTTTTATGCTGTATAAGAGGTATATCACGTTGGCAGATTGCACGTGAGTTCTTCTCAGAAAATTTTCACAAGGTATACAAGGTATGTAAGGTATGTATTAGTCCTGGTTTCACTGTGCACAATCATTGAATCATTGAACAAGTACAATAAATTTATTTAGATGAAGCATTAGAGGAAATGTATGTTAAAAAAAAGCAGCTTTGGCAGAAAAATTCATTGGTGTATACATAGTATTAATAAGATTATTTCAATCTTTTTTGTTTGGGATTTTATTGGGATCTAATATTTTGTTCGATTATATCGCGGAAACTGATGTATACATAGTATTAATAAGATTATTTGTCATTTCAATCAATCTTTTTTGGTTTGGATTTTATTGGGCCTAAAAAGTAGGTACAAGACATCAGGCGAAGTTAAAAGGTGTGCAAACTAGAAAGAGGTATATTGTATGTATTATATGGATCATGGTTTATTTAGTAGCTATTTTGAATTAAGTTCGTAACTACAGTTTAATATGATGAAGGATCTTAATATCATCCATTTTTAATATACCGTGGTAAGATTAAAATGCTCGACACTAAGAATTATTGTTCGAGATACTTTTACTTCTTACTACATACTTATATTATTAATTAAAAGTAGGATTTCATCCAGTTGTAAAAAAAAAAATTAAGGTACAATCTTCATTAGCCACCATTATGAAATCCTAATAAGATGAATCTTGGATACTATAACTTTGATTATTCATATATTTTTGTTTGAAAGATTACATCTTAACTTCTGTTCCTTTTATATTCGCTTCCAAATCTTGTTACCAGTGAGATCCAACTGTCTAATTTTGTTTGAAATGCATGAAATTATACCTCTCATTATGGAATTCGCACTTATATTTATATTTATTGATTCTTTTCTTTTGACTTTCATAACTTGAGCCGGAGTCCGAAGGGCCAAAGTCACTATTTTGATAACTTGCTGGAGCTTTTTGCTCTTGTTGTCGTTGTTGTATTTGTTCTTGCTGTTCTTGTTCTTTTTCTTTATTTTTTTTGTCCATAATATAAAACGAAAATGTTTGAGGAATAAAGATAAAGACGAAGTAAAGAGTGATTATTTAAATATTTTTTTAATAGATTCTAAATTGCATCATCATGAATCACGTCAATCACATCCTTATAAATTATTACGCGTAATATTGCTATGTGCGTTTCAACTTGATAAAATAAAAATGATCGAAATGATTTTACTTTTGTTATCAAAGTAAATACATCATAATATCACTCTTACATTGAGACTAAGACTTCTATGACTTCTATAATTATTACATAGACATTTAAGTGGGGATTACATTGTTTTTTTTAATTAGGAAAAGTATGTACTGTACGTTTTAAATATACAGTATGCAGAAAGCAGAAACGTCATACGCTCCAATTTTCGTTGCGTCATACAGTATAAGAAAAATAATTCCATCCAATCTTTAACTTAATTTGCTAAAATTCAATTATATCTTTCAATGTTAAAAAGTTTCTTAAGTTCTCATAATTATATTAGCTGTAATCTCTAATGTCATCACTAGTAATACTTAATGCGCTATATGATTGAATCTAAATTTAAAAAGTGAATGCAAGTTGCCAGTAGTAACCGCTTTAGATTTAATTAGTTTAAGGCGTCAGGAATAAAAAGGCAGATATCTAGGCTCAAATATCATCACTAAACATTCTAGACTAGTCATAAATACTAGAAAACAGTGAAATTGGCTTGGTCTAAAGGTGGCTTAAATTTAGAATAAATAGCATTTGATAATGTCATTGTACTGTAAATCGTTGATTGTAATTCATACTGCGTATGTTGGGGTTAGTCAATGAGCTGAACCACATGTGATTTGCCATATGTGGGCATTATAAACTTTTAAATATTAATAGTCAATATTTGGACTCTGCAAATGATTTATGATTGATGGTTTTAAAAATAGCTAAAATGATGAACAGTAATTGTTGACAATCATAATTGCTTTTAAGCTAATTAAAAATTCGAAAAACCAATAAACATTTGTTGAAAAATAAACTGATGGGACACATGAATCGAAATCTAGATTTTGGATATTTTCACGCAATATTATAAACATTAATTACTCTTAATGGTTTCAAATAAATTCCTTGCAAGTTTTTTTTATGAAACCTTATTGTTTCAAAAAATTTATTACCATTAAACTCTATTATTCACCGGGTTACCCTTGTAATTAGCATCTTTGTGTAAATTATTTAAATTACATTTCTAATTGTATTATAAATATTACATAAGTTTATAATATATATGTATTACATGTAGTCATGCAGTGTATAAAATAACAATTAAACTGTTTACCTCTACCGTAATTATTAAAATTATAGAATATCGTGAATTCATAGCTTCAATGTAGAACAGAAGTTGACATTTATTCATTTCTTTTACTTTATATAACTTATAATGTTGTCATGAAATTGTTGTCTATTTATATTTGTTGTACCAATAGTAATACAATAATAATAACAAAAAAAATTCCTCAAAAGATACGATTCGGTGGTTACTAAACATTTTATCGTCTCCTTTTTTTATTTCTTTTTTATTTCTTCTTTTTTATAAAAGAAAATATATCTTTTCCAATTTACTTTCATTCCTTTAAACAAAATGTCAACTAATTTGTTCAATTTCCCGGCTTTTTTTATTATATTAAGAGAATCATTAGAATGTACATTGATAATAACTATTTTAATTAGTCTGATTGATAGATTTGTTTCAGAAGAAAATCAACAAAAAAAAATCATAAAGAGAAAAATATGGATCGGGGTTGGTCTTGGAATAATACTTTCAATAATTATAGGAGCAGTATTTTTATCTGTATATCTTATAATTGAAAAAAACAATTGGGAACAAACTAATGAAATTTGGGGTAAGAAGAAATTTTTTATTAAAGTAGAACAATTCATTTTTTAATTGAAATTTTCTTTTCTTTTTTTTTAGAAATGGTTTTTTCATTTTTCGCTACATTTCTTATGACTATGATGGCTTTTAATATGATAAGAATAACTAATTGGAAAGATAAGATAGAAAAAAAATTAAATAAAATTATTTCAAATTATTTGTGTCGTAATAGAAGACAACAGCTACCTTTGCTTTTATTACCTTTTACAGTAATTTGTCGTGAATCATTAGAAACTTTTATTTTTATCACGGGGGTAATTTTAAATTTATGATTTTGAAAATGTGTTAAATTCTTATCAGCATTTTAAATTAATTTTTTTTTTTTTTATAATAGATTGAAGCTAAAGCTTATAGTTTACCTATTCCAATTTTAGCTGGAATTTCTACAGGTTTATTGATAGGTTACCTTATTTATAAGGGATTTCAAAAATTTTCATTAAACCTATTTCTGTTAATAAATATCACATTACTACTCTTTATGGGAGCAGGCTTTTTTTCATCAGCTTGTTATGAATTGGAAGGTATATTAGGTTCAAAAGAAATAATTATATGGGAATTAAATTGTTGTGTTCCATCTGGAGATAATGGTTGGACTATTGCTGAAAAATTATTTGGTTGGAGAAATAAAGCTACTATTGCTTCTACTATAGGTTATTTCTTATATTGGATTATAATAATATTTTATGTTTTATTTGTTTATTCTAAAGGTCTTAATAATAGTGACATTCAACAAGATCAACAACAACAACAATCACAATCAGAAAATAATATTACAATGCAAGAAAATTTAGAAGTTTCTTTATTATTATAACCACATTCATTACAACCTCAATTAAATAATAATAATGAATCAAATATATCATTACAATCTCAATTAAATAATAATAATGAATCAAATGTATTATAATTTTTTTTCTTTTCAATTTATGTAATTTTTTTTTTTAATAAATAAATGATTAATAAATAATAAAAATAATTAATAATTTTATATATTATATATTTTAATATATATAAAGTATATATTATTAATTTCAACTAAAAAAAAATTAATTAGTAAAAAGTTAATATTAATTTTGATAATAATTTGTCTGACTTAAAATTAATTATATAATTTTACCTATTAATTAATTTTTTCTTTAGTTAAATGTAATTATTTTTTTTAGTATATATACTGTATATAGTATATGATTTTAATAAAGTTTTTAATTCTTAATAAAGTTTTTACTTCAAATTACTGGAGGTGATCATCACCATTGGCCAAAATTATCAATTTTACCAGTACTATATATTTTTAATGTTGGTTGCTTGTTATAATTTCAGTCATCAGTAATCATCACCCCTAATGATAATTAGAAAAATTATTTATTTATTAAATATTATTATTTTATACTTTATTTTTTATATTATAATAATTTATAATAATAATTATTATATTAATATTTAATATATATTTATAAAATAAAATATTATAGTTTATTGAAAATATTTGCTAGTCAAATAGTATATTTTAGAAGTTCATGTCTATAATTACGTTCAGACTTCTATATAGTTATCTAATTAATTTGCAAAAATTGGTGACTATATAGAGATTTTTATTATAATGTAATTATATAAAGATTTTTTATATAATAATTATATATATTGGTATTTTCTAAAGATATAATTATATAAAGGAATTTTATATAATATGACTATATAAAGTGTAATTATATAGAAGTTTAACTGTATATAGACTATTATCATAATTAAATATTAATTTTAATTTTATGAGAGTAATTTAAAAATAAAATTATATAACAAATTATTATATATTTTTATTATTTGTAACAATTTTTACAATTTACAAAAATGAAAAGTAGTGATTTTTTAAAAATTGGCTTTTATCATATAAATGGAAAAATGCAGGTGAAGGTTTAAAAAAAATTGCTATAAGTTTCATTATCATTAACGACTATATGATCAGTTAAAATCATCTTTATGATGTTTTTTACCTTTTATATAATTTTTCTTTTATATTAATATTACCCAAGTAAACTGGAATTCTGGATTCTAAAAAATAAAAAAGAATTATTAACACTTCTTCAAATAAAAAAATATAAAAAAATTTAAAAATTTTAAAATTTACTACCTGTCATTTCATTTTATTAAAAATTGCTAATTTTTTGAAATATTTTTTCAAAACAATTGTACAATTATTTTGTAAAATTTTTAAAATATATCAAAATATATTTAAGATATTTTTGAAATTAAAATATTAAAATAATATCAAAGTCAATTATATTATAATAATAAAAGCATTAAAAAATTATTGTGATATTATTTTGAATTATTTTTATAGACCTAAATATAATACAATTACAAAATAATAACAAAAATACAATAAAAATATTTTGATGTATTAAATTTATTTTAGTAATATTTTAAAATTATTATAAAATCATATTGAAAAATTGGTCATTTTTAGTAAAGTAAAATTCTGGAATTTTTAAAAAAAAGGAAGTTTAATGAAATGGTAATAAGTTTCAGAAAAAAATTTTTTAAATAGAAGAAATATAAAAATACTAACTTTTTATTTTATTTTATTTTTCTAGTAACTTCTGTACTCTTTTAGACTATTAAATACTATTTCTGATTGGTCAAACTTCAGAAAAAAATTTTTTAAGTAATAAAATATTAAGGCAATTTCTATTTGTACACGGGGTGTTTAAACACGGGTCATATTAGTAGATTAAAAACGGCATTCAAAACCTCCTTTAATGCCTTAAGTAAACTTGCAGAGCAGGTGAAAATACATATATTTATCTGTAATATAATAAGAATAAAAAGTAAAAGAGTATAATGTCGGTAGCATTCAATTTCAAATTAAAAAACAAAAAATTAATCTATTAAAAATTATATTTATATGACCCGTGTACAAACACCCCGTGTAAACTTAGAAATTTTCAAATATTAAATATATTTTGATACTTTAATTTTATTTTATAGTTTTTGAATTTCTTAAAAATACAGATATAATTCATGTTATATATTCAAATCAGTCAACAAATAAATAATCTAAAAATAGAAAAAAAATCTAGAAAATCATGTCAATTTTTTCAACCTAAGAGACTGCATTGATATTATATTTTTAAAATGTTTTTTTTTAATTTTTTATTTTTTCTACTTAGACATTTTAATTTTTTTTTGAAATTCTTTCTTGTAAAGTATTATATATTAATTCAAAATAGTATTTGACATTTCAAAAAGGTCTAAAAATATTCTTAATTTTTTTTTCTAAAATTTACCAATTTTAAATAATGTAATAGTCTAAAGCTAAGAAAAAATAAATAGAATAAATAGAAAGTTATTATATTTTTAATTCCTATATGCCTTCTATTTAAAAACCTTTTTTTTAATTCACTAGTCTAAAATAGTTCAGAAGTTATAAACTTTTTATTTTTGTATTTCTATTCTTAAAAAAAATAGTTTTTTAAATAGTTGTTAAAAAAATTTTTTAAGAAAAAAAAAATACAGTATAAAAAAGGAATATTTAAATAAATAAAAAAAATGATCTCAATTTAGTATGTCTCTTGAAGAATCTTTGATTAGACACGCTGATACTGTCTATTATTTGAGAATGGATTGGAAACCTATTACAAGACTTCGTTCATATCTTCCAAACTTATTAAGTTTAGAATTTAATATAACTCATACTAAATGCTGGGATGAGTTTAAGAATGGTGCCGTAATTGGGCAATTGCGGATTAATTGCGGATCCGCAATATTGCGGATTTGCAGATTTCAGAAGTCCAAATATCCGCAAATCCGCAAACCGCAATTATCCGCAAATCTGTAAAAAATCCGCAAATTAGCCAATTAAATACTGTATCACGATCATTACTCAATCTATATATTTATATCGAATCATCAAATTTAGTATTATTACTCACTCTATTATAATATAATCAATTTATAATGCATCAAAACATCAAAACAATTGTATCTAAATTCTTCTTTTTCTATTTACTTTTTTCAACAATTTATTATTAAAATGTCAAAAA